CACAATAATTTTTTCGGCGCATACAACCCCCTACCCTTCCGCAATTTAAACCGCGAGCTTGAGGGATTCGACAGATGAGGGAGAGACAGATCGAGGAAGCTTCCGTTCCGCTTCGCGAAATGCATCATTACTTATTCCGGAATAGCGCGGAATCTGGCGACGACAGATTTATCGGGTGAAAAATTCACACGCGGGGTTGGAGAGGGAGGAAGGAAAGAAGGGTGAAAGGAACGACGACAGTCACCGCGGTCGCGGCTGTCTTTCGGGTTTTCGGATTGCCAAATGGGAAAACGTTGTTCCTGTTGCGAGGGAAAATTGCTCGACCGACCGCGTCAGTCGTCGAGGTAGAGGCCGAGAAGTTGCACGCTTTGCTGGCCGGGCAAATAAATCGACGTGACCGATATTCCGGATTCGGTCGTTTCCAAGGGACGTTTTCCCATCTCTCTCTCTCCCTTGGAAAAAGAGATTGCTGTTTACGGAAACGCGACGAATAATTTAGACTCTCTCTCTCTCTCTTTATTTTTTGCTCTCCTTATTCGCGCAATATTTTTCTCGTAAATATAACTACGATTCGATCGAGATTGAGCTTCGATGCACTTTCATATATATGGATTACAGAAATTAAATACATCTTTTTCTCGACGCGTTATTCTCGCCCGTGTATACGTGTACACGAGATAAATCATATATGTACATAAAATGATAAATATTTTTTTGCTTTTATTTAGCAAAGCAAATGCGCATCGAAAAAGAGTAGTGTATATGAATAAAAATATATGAAACGTGTGCTTGTGCATTTCGAAGCAAGCATTTGCTTTTATAAGAGATTACGGAGAAACGTGGCGAAAGATAAAGCCAGTTAATATGAAACGCGAATTACATAGTGAATTATGCACGTACATGATTATTTACGTTTACGCTGCTGACGCCGAGAGAAGAAAGAAAGTATACAAAGTAAATGTTTCGCGGTGAAAAACAAAACAGGCAAAAGACTTGTAACGAATAACGCTCGCGATATACGTTTTTCCTCGACGATGTATCGTTACCCTTTCAAACAAATAGCCTCCATCTTTTGCCAAGAACACCCTCTCGGTCTTAGTCGCCTATCTCTCATCAGGTTATATCTGGAATTCATCCGATAAGCATATATTCCGACGCGTTAAAATCCGTAAGAGCCATATATCGACTCCTTTATTCATTAAATGTATCCGGTCCCTCGATAGGGCTCTTTTTCTGTCTCGCACCCTTTTTTTCTCCCTTTCCTCCCGTCGCCGACATCCGCAAACGATTGTGTTCGAGGAGCATGACGGGTGGGTGGGATCGCTATGTGGATATCGTTAAGAGGCAGACACGTCTCGAATCTCTCTCTGCGATTTCGATCGTACATGGGGGCCCTAATGGACGCGCGTGACCGACCGTCCTTTACTTGGCGCGGCTGTCAAAGTCCGTTGACACCGGAGGAGATCATTGATCGCTCTCGCGCCTCGTCGTTCGCACATACTATAATAAGAGCCGGAACGAAGAAACTAGAGAATCTCAAGGAAAGAGAAGCGACAACTCTCGAATGGTGACCACCTACTCCTGATTGGCTGGCATAATATGTGCTTTTTAGATATTGCGACGCCAATGCGGAACACGTATACATTTATCACACAGACCGCATTCAACAGTTGAGCAACGTTACTAGATTAAGCTATATTATATCGCCATTTATTATATAAATTCTAGTAATGTGGCTCGACTGTTGAGGCTGCTGAACGCAGCCACGTACATCACATATTTGACATCTGTCGGTGTTAGGTTAGATGTTCTGCATTGGCGTCGCAATGTCAAAAAGCACATATCATGCCGGCCAATCAGGACTAGGTGGTCACGTGAGCAGTTTTGTCGCTTCTTTCTCTCTCTCTTTGAGGCTCTCTAGAAGAAAGCATGTGTATGTACAACGCAATTTGTTTCGATAAAAAAAAAGATCGAAAAGAAGGATCGACGATCTCGCGAGGCCGATAGATCACTCGCAAATAAAAAAGTAACGTATACGAAGAGCAAAGTGTGTACGTGACGGGAAGAATCGAAACTGTAAATTGTGATACATGACTCATTGTGACTCCGTCTCGTTCCTCACGTGTCTCGTGAATATCGATATATACGAAATATCGAACATCGGCGTTTTATTCGTTTAGACAAAAAGGTAAAGATATTTTTCATATTTTCCCTTTTCTTCCCCGGCCATATTATATCGCGTATCGAAAAGCCCGCGAAAAACGATCGAAGCTTGGATGAAACGATTCGGTTAAAAAAAAAAGAAAGAAACGATCGACTCTCTCACCGTGGATCTCGCGGTCTTGATTTACCGATCTATGCAAATCAAAAGTAATCCAATAATCCCGAGTGACACGAATAATTCCAGTTCCCATACGGGCGTGAGAGGGAAACTGACTCACTCGCTGCGCCACTAGTCAATTACATAAATTGAGGTCCGCAAGTTACATTAATTAAGCGTTTAATTCTTCGTTAATCCCATGGAAGACTGCGTCACGTCTTATAACCCTTGGCAAAGTCGGCGTTTCGACAGCCCTAGATTTCACCGTAATTTAACAGCGTTACCGGAGGGGACGGAGTTAACTCTCCGTGTGTATGTGAGGTGAATATTATACGCTTTGAATATTTTAATGTATATGTATTCAAAAACGGAATGATCCATGCTTAATTAAATTAGTCTGATTTACATCGGGTTAGATGCTCGGGGTTAAATTTCTCGAGAAATAAATTACTCAATTCAATTGATGCATATATTTGAATCCCCGAATTAAGAAATTCGATTTAGAAAGATTATATTAATAATATATTTAATACTGCGCTCGGATGATTTTAAAATTAGCTAAATAAAGGTGAGATGAAAATATTTAAATTCATCTCAGACATAAAACGATTTTGTTTTAAATATGTATATCTAAATAAAAAATAAAGTTATATGGCGATTCATCTAGATAATTAATTATCTGAAATTATCTGAATATTATTCTAAATAATGTAGTAAAGATAACACCATTTTGTCATCTATATTTTTCATCAGATATAAATAATATATATCTTTATTATCTATATAAGGATAAGAAATTTTATCTCTAGATGATCATCTATATAATTTTATTCAAACAACAGCAAACACTGATTACATTCAATTAACAATTTTGTTACACATATTAGAGAGTAGGAGAAGAGCGCGGGCTGGTTTCGAAGGGGGTGATAAATTAATAAGAGAACTTAAATATATACGAGAGAAAGTTAGAAGATCTTGTGATGCAGTACGCGCCGTGCCACGACGTTCGCAGTATGTTTACGACAATTTACGATGCACTTTATAATAGCGAGAGACAGGTAAACCGCAATGCTCAAGTTTTACCGGTGGTCGTTCGTTTTGCATCGTTGGTCGATGGACTTCGCGAGAAGGACTTGAGAGAAATATTTTTAGAATCGTTCTTTTTCGAAAGATTTCTGGATATCTTCTTTATCGAGAATTTCGCGAATTCTCGTCATAAAAAATTCCTCCATTTTTGTCGCCGCGCGCGTTTGATTAAACAAAGAAAAAATTTAATCAAGAGAAAAACAAAGCGGGGGCGAACAAAGCTTTTGTCATCCAATTATATTCGTACAACCGAAATCCCCTTTGAACTGTCCCTTTCGGGTGTGCAACGTAACTTTGCAAATTGAAATGCGTGTGGAAATGAAAATTTTTGCATATGAAAAATTGACCGAAAAAATTCGCGAACGAAATTCCGAGCACTTGCCTTCTCGCTGCGAGGCACTTTTATATTTGCGAGCGAGAAAACCGAGGGGGCAACCATTCGGTTTCGCGCCCCGAGAGACGCCACGAAGAGAGAGGACGACGACGCATTTTGCACGTTCGCCATCGTCATCGCCCGGTGGCCCTACGGAGAAATTTTTGCGGCGGAAACGCGCACATATAAAACACTGGACGTCACACGGCATGACCGTATATTATCTTTACCGTGGAATTATTCAATTTTAATCCCGCGTCACTATGTGCTCGCACGACCGCAAGATCTCCCCATGCGCTTGACACGCGTCGTTTCCTTTTTCTCCTGCGGCAAGACTCGCCACAGTCAGTCGTCAGAGCGCTTGACACGATCATGCAATACCGATGGAACGTACGGACATAAATAATCGTTGGAAAAAGGCCACCGAATTTATACGCGTCCGCTTTCAACAAAATTATTGTGCAAAAGAAAGAATACTTTGTATTATTTGTTGAAATTTGTCCATTGAGAATGCAAATTTATATGCCTAGTATACAATTTCATTCTTTTATATTATTACATTAGGTAGATATCAAAATGATTTTTTAGATTGCAATATAATTGTGTGTGTTTTAATAATGCATACTTATATTGCACTTTATTTCATAAAATATATAGACGAGTATTTAGATGCTGACGTAAATGTCAACTCTTTTATCGATTCGCAAGAAAAGGCCAAGAATTTATACGCGTCCGCTTTCAACAAAATTATTGTGCAAAAGAAAGAATACTTTGTATTATTTGTTGAAATTTGTCCATTGAGAATGCAAATTTATATGCCTAGTATACAATTTCATTCTTTTATATTATTACACTAGGTAGATATCAAAATGATTTTTTAGATTGCAATATAATTGTGTGTTCTAATAATGCATACTTATATTGCACTTTATTTCATAAAATATATAGACGAGTATTTAGATGCTGACGTAAATGTCAACTCTTTTATCGATTCGCAAGAATATTATAGCACGTGTGATTAGCCATCAGACATGCACAATCTACATATCTACACATAAGAAAGAACGTGGATATAAAATAAATTGGTTTGTCCAATTAAATATTACACCTTGTCAAATCTTGAATAACACCTTCAAGAGGAGCTTAATGACGTTAAATCGATTTACATAGTTTTTTATATCGCAATATCGAGTAAATCTGTATTTTTTCCCTCTCTTTCAGGAATTCTCAGCTATTGTTCATTGTCAACAATACCACCGGAAAATTCGCGGATGACGCAGAACATTCTCAATGATGGTACTATGCAATTTATATACCAATGCAGGAAGGGCTATAGAATCAAGGGTCACAAGGTGCGGACTTGCATCAACTTACAGGATTGGGACTATCCTGCTCCGGAATGCGTGCCTCGAAGTAAGATACCGTATCTCCTATTTTAAGCGAGCCGACGCGACGCGTCTCTCTCTCTCTTTCTCTGTCCGTCTCTCTCGGCGGAATTAATTAGGAACGCGGAACGCGCGAGTCTACTATCAATCTCTATATAGGATCGCGCCGTCGTATCGCTTTGACTCAATTGACGTCCTCTCATTCGCGGAACGTACTCATTATGATTAATCGTGTCCCCCGGTTGATTATATATACGTCGATTCAAGTATTCGCATATTGCATCCCCGATAATTGCAACGTACGAACGGAATCGATCATCGAAGAAAATTATGTTTCTCTTTCCTTTTTTTTTTTTTTTTTATTTTACAAAAGACATTTCTCTCCGCTGCGCGAAGAACATTTTTTATTATTTAAGACAATAATTATATTCCCTCGTTACTCTCATTCGTTCTGTATATACGTCCAAGCGCGCGCACCGATAAAGTTTCTTTAAACTGGTTTTACGACTCGAATGAATTAACGAACGAGTATCGTATATGTATATATGACGTCACCTTCCATAGTCCGCGGCATTACACTAATTTGATCGACATAAGTCAATTATTCGCTCGAAAGGGAACTTAACTCCCCGTCAGCCTCGACGCACGTGTTCGATATAGACTGACGGACAAATCCGTTTAACGTGTGAGACATTGAGTTGTCGAAATAAAGGGGACTCGTGGCGCCAAGTGCGGCTCTTAATACTGCTGTAACAGTTTGCTTATTCGATAGAGACGATCGAGTCTCCAATCGATAGATGGGCGTCCATAAAAGGGAGCATTTGTCCCCCTTGGAATTAATTCTCTCCTTTTGAATAAACACTGAAATTTATTTGGATTTATTTAATATCGAGGAATGAAAATAACAAGAAGTAAAATTTTTAAAAATTAAGAAAGAAAAAATGTATTTGTGCCCCCTCCTGGAAAAAATCCTGCGGATTGGACCCCCATGGTTGAGAGATACGATTATAAATTCGCGTTCCACTCCGTTATTCGATCTTATCGTTTACGCAAACGCAGAAATAAATTCAGCCTTAACGCAGATGTTAAACGAAGATATTGAAAATAAAACGATTTAATTGATATGCAAAAAAGAGGAAAACCCTCTATTTTTTTTCTCTCGACGGTATAATTGTTGCACACGTATAGATATTTAAAAGAGAACAAACAGCGCGCGTTGCAAAATTAATAAATGCTATCTCCGGCATCGCTCGACTCGGTATATTCACGTTATAATCCAAGTTGGAGAATTGGAATTACATATATTTAAAACCGCAGTTCGTAGAGAACCCGCGCGATATGTCAAAAAGTCTCGAAAGTTTCGAAGAACAATTTACCCGGGACGCCCGTTGCTATGATTTGTGGAAACACGACTTTAACGTCGGAGGGGATTCAATTTTCACCAATGTTCAAGTTATCGGCATATCTTAAGGGAGGGAAGAGAGAAGAAGGGGTTGGCATTGCTCCGATACTGCGAATATATATATATATATATATATATATATATATATATAGGATGTCTCCCATTCTTCGCGCTTTCCCTCAAAATCTTGGAGGAACCAATGGAAAACTTTTTTAATTAAAAAAGAAAGAAACGAGTAGAGAGAATCGAGACTTATCTCACGGTTGTAACTTTCACCACTCTATTATCAAAGAGAAATTAATCTCGTCTCTTTTTAAGGGGAGACATTTAGAGGTATCAAAAATAGTCATATATTCATGAATTTTTTCTCGGAAAGTTTAGGATCAAAATGGGATTTTCATCAAGTAAAATTTTTATTAAAAAATATTTAAAAATATGGCAGATATTGTGCCGACGTCAGATGCCATTGCATTTTATGGTACCCAACAATATGCAATCTATATGGTTCTGAAATTAAAAAACTCGATTGATTCTTAAAATATATAGATAAATTTAGTCTTTATCATAGCAAATTTTAAAATTATTTGAATATAAGGACGAATTTTTTATTTATCGTTTCATGGCTGTTAAAAAAATCCTACAACAGAAACTAGATTTATTAGTATATTTTAAGAATCAATCGAATTTTTTGTTTCAAATGAACCATATAAAATAGCATAAACGCCAGCAACAATATCTGCCACATTTTTTAATATTCATAAAAAAAATTCATAAATGTAAGAACTATTTTGTTAAGCGTCTGGTGGTATGTCTCCGCTTAAATACCTATCAAAACGCATCCTTCTCTCTCTCTCTCATAGTTGAGAGATTAGTCCAAAGTATTCGGGCACTTAAGCCGACGAATTACAATGCCGATCGCGAATGAGTCACTATCTCTAGCTCGCTGCTCTGTAATATGGGTAGACCAGCAAACCCGACTGGGATTCCGGGGAAAATTCGCGAGGGTGGCGTTTCGGAGTTTCAGGAACGCGTCTCGTTCCATCGCGCGTGCTATCGGCGGCACGAAATTCGCCGACACGGCATAGCTCGCATTCGCTTCGATGGAGATGAACCGCCAAGTCGTACACCACGCATGGATTATACGCACATATGTATATACATATATATATATATATATATATATATATATATATGTATATACTTATGTATATGCATCTACATATAGGACATATATATATGTATATACTTGAATCTGGTCAGGATGACGGAACGCTAAAGGAGCCTGCGTTTATTCGATTATCAGGCAAATATGCATCCGTGAATTATACGAGAGATGACGCGACGACCAGATAAAGCTCTGAAAAAAGATCAAAGGGTCGAAAAATTCAGAATTAAAATTCCAATTACGATAAATGAATGGGAAATCATTTTTTTTCTTGCAATATTTCGTGTCTCTTTACTGATGAATGTGAGAATCACGCGTATTCCATTTACTTTATACACGTTATTCGTTTGATATAGGAATGCGTAAAGGATTTATTCGATGGCGATCTCGCATGTATATGCTAAAAGTGTGTATCTCCGCGTAGGACCATCCTATACAAACACACATATATACAAATATACACATATATGGTATATTCGACGAAATTAATTCTTGCGTCTTCCTCCTCGCGTCTTCATACGCTACTCGAGTATCTCATTTTTGCTCGGTGAAGCGAATATTCTATTTCAAGTCCATTCGCGATGAGCGCGGGTGTACGAATGACGAGAATTTAATTAAAATTCTCTTTAATTATAATCGCGCTAAAGGAATATTTTATTTACCAGTGCAATAAGCGCACAACGCGCGCCAGTTTTTCTTTTCCCACGTGCGAATATTTAAATTAATTAATCATTCGAAAATTCGTTAGGTATAATATTATTACATTACATTATTATATATTCGACATGAGATGCAACTTTTAGCTGACACATGCATTACGTATGTATTGTATATAAAGGTTCATCACCACGTCGGCGTCCCGATCTCTATCTAGGCGATGAACCGGTTGAGGAACCGATTGCTTTGCCCGGAGTTGAATTTCTAGGCGTGAAAGAATATCTAAGGATGTCGAATAATACAGACGAATTGAAAAAGCCCAGAAACGCGCAAAAGGACGGCAAGAAGAAAAAGAGAAAAAGGAAGAAGTCGAAATCCTTGTCGAAACCATCCACGGCGAAGAAGTTAAATGAAACTGTGGTGTCCCAGCTCGATAACAGTTGTTTCGTAAAGACTCGCCGAAAGAGGCTCATCAAGGCGCCTTTGATCGAACACGCTTACCTCGCCAAGTACGCCAGGTTGGTACTCGCATCAAGACAGTTGTCGTCATCCGCAAAATAATGCAAAAATAAATTTCGATAAAAAATTCGCGAGGAAGGAATGTCAGAGTTTTTTGTTCTTTTTCTTTAATTTTTTTTAACCTGGGATATATTTCTTTTCCGCGGTTTCTTTCGATATTTTATTCTAGAGAGACACTCGGGATAATAGGATGCATTGTTTTGCAGAAGGAAGAACGTCCTGCCACCGTACAATCGATACCTCGTTGCGGTTTACGAATGCGCGGACGGTTACGTGTTCGTGGAATCGACGACGGACAGACTCTTCTGCAGCAACGGCACTTGGCTCGGACGTCGTCCGAAATGCATTAAAGAGAATCGTAAGTCTAATTAAAAATCTCTTTTCTTTCACCCCGGTATAATAAATCGAATTGCATAATACGATAGAGACAACTCGTATTTAAACTTCTTAAGGCGATTCTAAAGCTCTGTTTTATAGCAGAGCCAAGTTGGATTCGATCATGAATCTTTTTATTGGCTATACAGAATGAGAAATCCTTTTTGCCCTCTCCTTTTTTAATATTACTACTTTTAATATTAGTAATTGTGAAAAAGGATTTATCAATCTGTATAGTCAATCAAATACTTATACTCGTAAATTTAGTATATTGTATAGAGAGAGAGAGTACATATGTAAATTTATGAGTTCAAGTACCAATTTTTTATTGACTTTACAGATTGATTTAAATTCTTTTCCACAATTAAAATATTAATATTAACAAGTGGAGAAGGGGTGGAAAGAATTTTTCAATTTGTACTTGAACTCATTTTATGAGAACTCAAGAGAACTCATCAAATAAGTTCAAGTACCGATATTTGTGGATTGACTATACAAATTGATAAATTCTTTTCCACAATTAAAGTATCAATCTGTATAATCGATCAAATAAATAAAAAAAACTTTTTACATAAAATTATAGCGTTCACAATTAATTTGTTATTTCTAGTACTTTAATTGTGAAAAGTGTTTTTGAATCTGTGTAGCGAATGAAAAAATTTATGATCGAATCAAACTTTAGATGCCATTTATTGTGAAATGTATATGCTTTTACTGTTTTAGAACCGCCGATCGACAAGGTGAAACGTTGCGACCAGGGTGCAGGCGAATGCGAACACGTTTGCGAGGATACGCCGACCGGTATAAAGTGCTCCTGCTTCGACGGCTTTCGAGCAGAAGGATCTTCCTGTATAGGTAATCCATACGGCCGCGACTGTAACGTATAAAGCTCGCGCGTGTAAACTTACCGGTATCCGACATTCTCACATATTTTTTGAGGAAAAATCAAACTCACGTTCCTCGACATCTGATATTTCCGTCGAAATTCCCGTATACTTTTTCACGTATCGACTGTCCGTATCCCACTTCGATTCGTTTTGTATTCGTCCCGTTTCCGATATTCCTTCGATCCGATATTCCACTTTTGCGCAGCATTTAAATTTATCCGATCTAAAGCGCGGAATATTCGCCCGATGAAAATGATTTTTGTCGGATGTAAATAATGAAAAAAGCGAGTATATAATTTTAATCCACGCTCTCGCGGATAAACACATTTTCGCGTAAATATCGACTTAATTTTATTGGATTATTGGTTTTGGCAGGTATCGGATTGATTTAAGAGTGCGATTGTACGCGAATCGAGTTGAAAAACTTGTTATCGGCTCGCGGGCATTATTTCTCTTTAATACCTAAGATCTTACCTATAATTTTCTGCTTTGATTCTGTCGCCCGCAATATGCGGTATGTTTGCGAATCATATCGTGTTTGTAGCTCGATGATTGCTCGATCAACGTGGCTCCAACGTTATATCACGCAATCTCCCAGCATATCGATAATACGCAATTATTGCTATTAAATTTCTCACCACGAGTTAAAATAAATGATAACTATGGCGTGGATGATTATTTCAAAGGAAACTGTTTGTCATTATCACGTAATAACTTTCAGCAAAAGATGCAAGTTTGTAATTCAATTTCATAGCTTCATTTTATTTTTTATTAACGTCAAAGTTTCGTTTTTTCAATCTCGACAAATAAAAGTTATATACTTGAATCTTTAAAGATTTTAATGAGTTCGGTTGATTAAATTTAAAAATTGCCAACTTAAAATTGATTAACTTGATCTATTTTTTTATAATAAGTCTGTGCCTTGCAGGTGGCAATTTTTAAATTTAATATATCGATTAAAATAAATGAAACTGACCCCGATATATCTATGTATATATCTTTCCTTTCTTCTCGATATTTTTGTTTAGACATCGACGAGTGTGCCGAAAATAAAACGCAATGTGCTCATATCTGTCACAACGAACTCGGTTCCTATTCCTGCGAGTGTCATCATGGTTTTCAATTGGGAACCGACCGTCACTCTTGCCAAGGTTAGTCGTAAGCGAAGAGACATTCTCGAGCAATATTTTTGCCAATTTTTTCAATTTAAATTTGTACGTTTTTTTATTTATAATTTAATTTAAACGAAACTCTAATTATTATTATTATTAATGTATATATCATATATATATTACATATTATATTACATAGATATCGACGAGTGTCTCTCGAATAATGGACACGGACCTTGTCAAGGCAGTTGTCGCAATTTCGTTGGCGGCTACGAGTGCAGTTGCACGAATATTCCTGGATATAAATTAGCTGCTGACAATCACACTTGTGAGGACGTGGACGAGTGCGCTGTAAATAACGCAAACTGCTCTCACCTGTGCTTGAATACACCTGGAAGTGTCTTCTGTCTCTGTCCGGATGGCTTCTATCTAACTGACGATTGGAAGACTTGTCAAGGTGCGCATATAAATACCTTGTCTATGTCACTATCAATTATTTTATTATCTTGCCTTTCAGCTATTTTGTCTACTTCTCTTTTACGATTTACGAATTATTTTAAGTAGATAATTTCTTTACTTTGCATTTACAATTAGTCGCAATCAAAAATTCACTAATATGATTCTAAAATTCTTCTCATTTAATTGATATTTTACCGAGATTTTAAGAATGAATATCATAAAATCTGAATTATCCTCTTCTCTATTCAGACATTAATGAATGCAAAACGACGGAGAAGATTTGTACGGAAGACACCGAGTGCGAAAATACAATGGGATCATACAAGTGCATAAGTCGAATAGTACATCCAAACATGGCAACGAAGTTCCTTCGAGAAGAAGATTACGATAGCGAAAGGGAAGACGACAACGAGAAGGACGATGACGACGACGAGGACGAGGATGATTACGAAGAAGAGATTACCGAAGTTCCGGAGAATCCGCGCAAGTGCGAGGACGGATTCGAGAGAAATGAAAATTTCGAGTGCGTCGGTAAGTGTTGGTGTGTCCCGTTGAGTCAAAACTCAGAGCTAGAGGACTTCAATTAACTGAATTGCAATGACATATAAAATGACCTTTCCCTTTTTTCCAGATATAAACGAGTGCGAGAACAATTCGCACGGCTGTCAACACGAATGCATCAACGAACCTGGCCGTTACCGTTGCACCTGTCACGACGGCTACGTCCTCGCGGAGGATAGAGCGACGTGCGAGGACGTGGACGAGTGCGCCAACAGGTCATCACCGTGTTCCCACATCTGTCGCAACACCATCGGGACGTACACGTGCGAGTGTCCTCCGGGATTCATCCTGACGGACGACAACGCGACCTGCGCGGAACGGAAGTATTGCATGCACCTAAATCTTTGTTCGCACATCTGCGAGTACACCAAAGACGGTCCAAGATGCGTCTGTCCGCTCGGATTCTACTTGTCCGATGATCGAGTGACTTGCTTGGACGTCAACGAGTGTCTGGAGTTCACCGTGTGTTCGTATGAATGTGTCAATACTCCTGGTAGTTACAGGTGCGCCTGTCCGCCAGATATGAGACTGGCCGAGGATGCCGCTTCATGCGAGGTTTCCACGTGTCCTCCAGGACTTAAGCGAGACGACGATGACAGTGAGTGTCGAGATATCGACGAGTGTCTAGATGGCGAGTACGAGTGTTCGCATTTGTGCGTCAACACGTACGGGTCCTATCGTTGTTCGTGTCCTTCCGGATGGATCCTGGAGAACGACAATTTCACCTGCGCGAAGATCGATCCTTGCTCCGATTCTCCTTGTTCACATTCGTGCGTCGCGACAGGTTCGAAATATAGATGCGAGTGTCCTGCGGGTTATTTTGTGAACGTTTACGGCAAGTGCGAGGATAAGGACGAATGCCAGAGTGAAATGACGAACGATTGCAGTCATGATTGCAAGAATCTCGAGGGATCCTACTTGTGTTCCTGTCCGATAGGATTCGAACTCGGAGAAGACAATCGTACATGCGTCATCCAGAACGAGTGTACAGACCCCCAAGAGAATAACAACTGTACCTGTTCCGCGGGATATTCGTATTCGTATAAGGAGCAGATCTGCGTGGACATCGATGAATGCCAGGACGAACGGGAAAATAAATGTTCTCATGATTGTATCAATACTGACGGCTCTTATTCGTGTCAATGTCCTTCGGGCTGGCGTCTGCAAGAAGACTCTAGGACCTGCCTGCAATTATCGACAGATGATCCTTGCGTCCAGGATCACGGTTGCTCGCATACATGCGAGCAAAACGACGGGAGGATACGTTGCGGCTGCCCGGAAGGATACGAGTTACAGGACGACGAGAAGACTTGCCGAGATGTGGACGAATGCACCGACGGATCTCACGCGTGCAGTCACGTCTGCGTTAACACCGAAGGTGATTATTTTTGCGAGTGTCCTTCAGGATATCAATTGCGCGATGATGACAGAAACTGTCAGGACATCGACGAATGCTCCATCGAGGATACCGGCTGCTCGCACGGATGCTCCAACACAAACGGCACCTTCGATTGCACCTGCCCCGAAGGATACGAGTTGCAGGACGACGGCAGGACCTGCGAGGACATCAACGAGTGTATTCGGAATAACGGTGAATGTTCGCATCTGTGCGCGAACACCGAAGGTAGCTTCGAGTGCGCGTGTCCCGACAATTACAAATTATTGAAGGACGACGGCAGAACATGCGTTGAAATAAACGCGTGTTCCATCGACAACGGAGGATGCTCGCATTTCTGTCGTCAGGACGAGAACGGCCAGGCGTTCTGCTCCTGTCCGTTCGAAATGACCTTGTCAGAGGACGGTGCGACGTGCGCGTACGAGAACGAGTGTCTGAATGAAAATAACGGCGGTTGTTCCCATCTGTGCTATCAGGAAGACGGAAACGTGACTTGCGCCTGTCCATCCGGTATGATCCTGGCGGAGGATGGGCAGCTTTGCGTGGTAAATGGATGTAAGATCGATAACGGCGGTTGTTCCCATTTATGCCACGATGACGAGGACAGTAATGTGACGTGTTTGTGTCCTCCGGGGATGTCCCTGTCGCAGGACGACGACACCCTTTGCGTCGAAAATAATCGATGCCTGATTGATAATGGCGGATGCTCGGACATCTGCGTCTGGGTGAACGATTCGATCGTCTGCGAGTGTCCTGATGGTTACCATCTGTCATCGCAGGACAACACAACCTGCGTGGACATCGACGAGTGTCTGGAACTGCGCGACAACTGTACTCATCGATGTCTGAACATACCCGGCGATTTCGACTGTGCTTGCAACGCCGGTTTCACGCAGAATTCTCAGGATCCAACTCTTTGCGACGACATCAACGAATGCGAAAGCGAGACCGCGAAATGTTCGCATTTGTGCGTGAATCTCGTAGGTTCCTTCCGATGTCTGTGTCCAGCGGAATACATTCTGGAGCGAGATAACAGAACCTGCGTACCAGTGGATGGTTGCAAGCACAACAATGGCAACTGTTCTCATTTCTGTAATCGGGAAAACGAAACTTCCGATGGAGTCTCGAGCGTCGTCTGCTCCTGTCCGCTCGGTTACCGCTTAAAACGCGAGGATCCCAAGACCTGCGAGGACATTAATGAGTGCGAAGATTTTGAAAATGACGTGGAATCAGGTTGTTCGCACAAGTGCGTAAACACCGAAGGCGGTTATCGTTGCGAGTGTCCCACCGGCTACGTCCTGACGCCGGAGGACAGAAAAAACTGCGTGGAGGTGGACGAGTGTTTGACAGATGATCACAATTGCACCCACGAGTGTGTGAATCTGCCAGGTGGTTACACGTGCGCTTGTCACGCGGGATATTACTTGCACACCGACGGGTCAAACTGTTTCGACATCGACGAGTGTCAGGAGAGGAACGGCGAATGTTCCCACGTTTGCACCAACACCGCCGGCGGTCATCTCTGCTCCTGTCCATCCGGATATGAGCTGTCTCAGGACGAGAGAAGCTGCATGGACGTCGACGAATGCGCGAATGATAACGGGATTTGCGACGAGCGTGCCACGTGCGTCAACACCGTGGGATCCTTTCTCTGCGAATGTTTGCCGGATCACGTGCGACGAAACGGCACCTGTCGACCGTCCGATCCTTGTCAGGATCAGCTTAACGGCGGCTGCGAGCAGATCTGCGTCGCGGTAAACGGTACCGCGGTGTGCTCGTGCGAGAAAGGTTTTCAGAAGAGCGGAATCGATGCTTCCGAGTGTCACGACATCGACGAATGCGCCGAGGGACAGCACAACTGCGAGCACATCTGCGTCAATAAACCTGGCTCGTACGAGTGCGGGTGCAAAGAAGGATTTCGGATGGTAAACTCCACTTGCGTAGGTAAGTGAGACACCGAAAATTCATCTACTCCAATAACTATTTTAGAATTAGCTATTGTCGTACATGAATTTTATTAAGTAGACATTGTTAAACACTTTATATTAACATAATTTTTATACGTGACACCTAATTCTATGCTGGTATATTGGTTCTGTATTTGACATAATTATTTGCATTGCGAAAACGCGAGCCATTATATTACTTTGTTATTGTTCATAGATTTTTACTTCTTCAGTGAGATAGATATTCTTAACAAGACGAGCGGCGTACAAAATAAAAGAATAGAGACATGAATGAATTGTTTTAGCTACTGATTAAAATTCTCGAGAGGAAGAATGTATAATAGTCGTCACTTCTGGAAAATCCGACATAACGGATGACGCGTGACTCTTTGCTACACGATTTCGCAGCGCGTTCCACTTTCGAAGCTTGCTACAAAGTTAGACTCGCTCAGCTTAGTTGAAGTTTTCGTGAAGCGACATATCTCTGTGTGTATGTGCGTGCGTGTGTGTGTGTGTGTGTGTATGTGTGTGTGTATGTGTATGTGTGAGTGATGTGTGTGCTTTTTAGACGTCGACGAATGCGCGGCTGGTATCTGCAAGGGCAACAAATGCACCAACATGTCGGGTGGTTATCGTTGCGAGTGCGAGTCGGGATATCGATTCCACGACGATACCTGTGTAGGTTCGTGCGGAGAAACGTTTTCCGCGAAAAAAAAGGAGAAAAACCGACGTCACTTAATCGTAACTGAACTGAGTTTACTTTTGCACAGACATCAACGAATGCCTCGAAAGGGCACCCTGCAACGAGAAATGCATCAATACACCTGGCTCTTATTACTGTACGTGTCCTCTCGGATTTCAACTGCAAAAAAACGAATGCGTAGGCAAGTTGTAAAGCATTGTATAAAATATAGTAGAGCATTACCTAGGACACAAAACATCAAGTCAATCTATAAGTCTGATTCATTAAGAAGTTTGTTTGTCGTATAAAGAATAAATTATGTATGTGTATGAGCGCGATGAAAAATAGAATATTCATCACCCAGACAGCATCAAAATTTGAAACATGACGTTTTAAGATGTTTTTTTTTAAATATCATAAAATGCCTTAAAGACATCTTAAAGATGTCTTAAGTCTCGATTTTGGATATATTGCTGTCTCAAAAAAGGATATAAATTTAATATAAATATAATCTCTCTTTAAAAACTTCTTAAAAATACTTATATGAATCAACTTGATCAAATCTAGTGATCCTTTTGATTTTAATTTTTGCGTGTAAAAATTGCATGATTTTTTTATAACATTAATTTTCAAACTTTGATATTAGATATCAATGAGTGCGAATGGAATCGCGACAGATGCGATCACGAGTGCATCAATACCGTGGGATCTTTTGTCTGCGCTTGCCGTACCGGATATACGTTAATTACGAGGTAAGAGCTAAGCACGAATTTTGGAGACAACAAATTATTTCGAAAAATTAAGATCTTCCATTTTCTTCTCCGATATAATTCTTCACCTATAATTGCATGACGCAGGGGACAATGTCAAGACGTAAACGAGTGTCTAAACCGAAACGGCGGTTGCACCGGAGAGTGCGTCAATACCGCCGGAAGTTACTACTGTAGTTGCAGTGTGGATTTAGTGTTGGCACCCGACGAGAGAACTTGCGTTTCGCCGACATCGAGATGTCACGCCATGGAGCCACCTTTACACGGAGAGGTGTGAACATTGTTATTGTTACTGTGTAGCTACCGTAAACATTACATTAGATGCGAAACTTGAGCATATGTCTGAAATATTTCTTTGAAATATTTCGGAGATAGCTTTTATCGCGTACCCAATAACACAACGTATTTCTTTCACGCATTTATTAAATTTTAACAAATTTTTATTTGTTATTATATATAATTCGTTAAAATATACTTGGCCTGATTTTATCATTTTAAATCATATTAAATATAAAAAGAGCGAGAAATAGAAAGAATAGTGGAATTTAAAATTGATATGAGATCGATAAATACATATATGGGGCATTCCATATCAAGGGTCATTTTCAATATTCAATATCTTTAATTGACATATCGAGGTAGAATAAAGTGCAGTTTTTAAACGGTAAAAGATAACATTCTATAAAATTTATAGGTTTTAATGTAAGGATATTAAGCATAAAATTTAGCTGCGAAAAATGAAAAAAGGTCGCTTTTTCGCAATAAAAGTGGCTCATTTGACACGAAATGCCTCATATATATATCGGCAGAAATAATAATTTAAAAAATAAAATTTGCTCTTGAAACAATCTTCTCTAAAATCGAACAGATCAGATGTCCCGGTCACTCTTCCGGCGCATCCGTCTACCCGCAGGGTGCCAAATGTCACGTTCGATGTCGCAGAGGATTCCGACTGGAAGGGGCGCACACGAGACACTGCGTTAGTGACGGCCGATGGAGCGGGAAAGAGCCTATCTGTCTGCGCGAAGTTGTGACAGACTCCCTTTACAATCCAAGTAACTTGCTTGTAACTCTCTCCTCTTCCTCTACAATTCTACAGTTTTAGCGGGGAGGGAAAAAACGCCGCCACCCGTTTGTAACTTTGCGAGAAATTTCATCGAGATGTTCACTCGATAAAATTTTAACAAGCTGACTGTTGCGTTATGAGGCGTTACTTTTTAATATCGTTACTCCAACACTTGATCGTTTTGACAAATTATCTGAAGATATTTTACGGAATAATTTTGCGACATTTTTTCCCGGAAAACGCGGAAGGGAAAACGTTGATGGAGCGAGACGCGCGCATTACTTTAAATTAATTTGTATTACACGTGCAGGCAAAGTGGCACTTTGTGTGCGTGTTTTCTGTGCGGAAAGCGGCCGATTTCCCACGCCGCCATCCAGCGGCGACGCGGTGAGTGAATAAGCCGCGTTTAAAGTCATTGCCCACGGTTAAAACCGTGGGCAATACATTTCCCACGGCTTCAGCCGTGGACAATGACTTTGAACGCGGCTATTCCCGCACCGTGCCGTTGCAAGATGACGGCGTGCGATCGGCCACCTCGCGCACAGAAAACGCGCACAAAGCCACTTTTCCTGCACTTGTAATACAAAATATCGTGTGTATCAAGTGCGGATTGACAATTGTTCACTCGTGTGGGGTGGTCCATCCCCCGCACTCGTGACCAATTGTCAACTTTTCGCACTTGATACACAATATACTATTTCCTCTCTTCGAACTCGTTATCGGTTTTTTTCGAACGAGTGCACGGAAGTACGGAAGAAAAGGCAAAGTTCGAGATGCTCGCGCGTGTTCGAACATGCGTGAAATATCGCCGGGGTGCGCGGACCAAGAGTAATCCAACGGCGAAAATTCTCGGACGCGTTAAATTAGTCATGCTCCACTCGGAAACGGCTTTTAATATTACAAAGTTCCCTGTGTAGAGGCTGCCTGCTAACGAGATCATACGTTAACGCCGCCCCTTAACGAGCTTACTCCGGCTCGGCGGCTTTTTACGTTCCGCTCTTTTCCTCCCATCGTTTCGTTCCATCCGCTTTGCCCGCTTTTTCATGCCCCGCGCACATTTTCGCGGTTCTTCTTTCGTGCCGCTAATTGTTTCGTTTAATGGAAAGGAGATTTTGATTCTACCTTTCCACCATTGCACTTTTTTACAGACATATACGTATACGCACATCCCCACCCACCCCTCGTTAATGTATTATAAAATCAACTTTTCGAACAAGTATTTAAATTTCTAAAAGGGACGTCCTTTGGACAGCTTTTATCTGGTATCAAACGATATTACGCTTATTACCTCTCGTTCCGTCAATTTTTTTTATGGAATATACTCGACGTATCTCTGACAAAATCCTCGATTTAGCGCTCAATTTTGAATGAACTCGATAGAGAGAAAAAAAAATGTCGATTTTTCGATCGGCGAAAAGAAAAAAAACTATTGAACATTATATAATGTTGCGTTATCGTAAACACGATAATGTGAAAAACGAAAAAGGGGTATAGCAAGGTAACAAGGTTCGTTTCGCACGATGGGATATTTTCCGGCACCTGTTAAAGTAACGTCTCTCTCTCTCTCTCTCGCGTAAGAACGCAAACGGGAGAGCATAGATGGGAATTGCGCGCGAACGTAATTACGATATGATCCCGTGCTATCGGTGTCGGAAACTTAACAACAATCGACTTTATCGCCGCAGACACGCCACGACCGTTCGTGAGCTGCCCCCAGGACATGGACGTCGAACTGCCGGCCAGGCAAAACACTATACGCGTAACTTTCCCGCAACCAAAGTCCAACATGAACTGGTGGAGGTAAGAAATACATATACATAGAATCATAGAACTATATCACAGTGCGCGTATATAATTGCGCGTATAATTAGACATAACTACGGAGCAAATGGTCCGAGTCAAGTCTGAATTTCTCTCACTTAAAATAACACCCTTTTGAGATAATATTTCTCGCGCCTCGTAGATTTATTCGAACGACCCTTTTCTCTCCGTTAAATGCAAACGAGATAATCAGTGTTATGCTTTTAATGATTTTAAAATTAGCTAGATAAAAATTTGTTAATTTATTTTATAGATAAGATGAAGATAATTTTGTTTTAAATATATCTAGATAAAAGATAAAATTATATGGCGATTCATACAGATAACTTTCAGATAATATTATTTTTAAAAGGGATATACAAAATATATTTATATTTTTATTTGTAAGTTTTTATCGTTCACTGCTCAAGAAGTTCCGTTATTTAAGTATTTTTATGTCTTATGACTAAACCAAATTATCTGAATATTATTCTAGATGATTTAATAAAGATTGCACTTTTTTTAATCTAAGATATACACATATATAGATAATACATATTTTTATTATCTATATAAAGATGAGATGACGCCAAAATTGTATCTAGATAATCATCTGAAAAGTTGTTTTTAGATAACAGCAAATATGAAGATAATATATTATTTGAATTTATTGCGTCACACTTACCTTGCTTAGTTACGTCTTTACGCGCTGTCGCGTTCTCTGCGTGTGGCCTCTTATTTTCTTTTTCCTTCGTCCTCTTTAGATACGTACACGCCTCACCCCCGTGGGCGAAGCAATTGCAAGCGGATCTGCCGGCGGGTACGACGGTCGTTACCTTTACGGCGTGGTCGCCGGTCTCTAATTACACCAGCACCTGTAGAATTGTGATAAGAGTGCGCGGTAAGTCTCGCTTATAAGAAAAAACATAGGAATAAAATCGTCGCGAGAGAGCTCCCTTTTCTTATGCCCTTTTTCTTATCGTTGAGCTAGAGCCCTAGATATCACCAGTGTTGTGCTCGGATGATTTTTAAATTATCTAGATAAAGGTAAGATGAAAATGTGTCAATTCAGCTTGGATAAGATGCGAAGATGATTCTTTGAATTTAAATGTATCTAGATAAAAAGATAAAATTATATAGCGATTCATCTAGATAACTTCCAGATAATTATATTCTTAAAATTACTTATGTAAACATAGTTATAAAAAAATGTAAATTATTAAAGGGATAGAAAAATATATTCAGTTTATTTGTAAGTTTTTATCACTTACTGCTCAAGTTCTCTATACTCCTTGAGTATTTTTATTTATTATGACTGTAAACCATCTAAAATTATCTGAATATTATTCTCGATTCTATAGATAATTTAGTAAAGATTACACCTTTTTCATCTAACAATAAGATGCAGGTATAAATAATATATATTTTTATTATCTACATAAAGATAAGACGACGTCAAAATTTCATCTAGATGATTATCTATATAATTTTATTTAGATAACAGCAAACACTGGATATCACAGAAGCGACTATCGACATATATCAATTGATCTCGATTATCTGCCATTTTGCTTCTATTATAATATATAAATACATAAAAGAATAAATAAATAAAAAATACATGTAAAAATAAATTATTATTATTGTTATTATTTTCTTTATGTTATTATGATTTTATAATAATAATTATTTGTTTAAAAAATTTTTTATAAATAGGAATACTTTCTCTTTGTCATTTAAACGGACAAGAAGCAAAATCTGAATGTCGCCTCTCTGATATCTAGGACTTTAGCGTTACGCTTATTTATAAATAAATGAATTTACCGGGGCTAAAAAATATAAAATATAATAATTACGTCGCTATCGAAAGAGAGATTTTAAAGGCGAATCCTTTGAAAAATGTACGCGAGCGCAAGAAGAAAGGTACACTTTAACGCAATTCGATTCGCGCGAGATTAATCTCTTTCCGATTCCTCTCTTTAATTCTTCTACCGCCAAAGTTAGAAATGGGCGGAACGTAAAAATAAAAAAGAATAGAAAATTCAATAGTTCGAAAGTCGATCTTTGATTTTGTACATTATTAATTCAGAGTCCCGGAGAGAGGCGTGTTCCCTTTTATCGATACTTTCTCCTTTTTTCCCTTGTAAATTCATCTATTTTTCCTCAAGAGCAGAAACTTTTCGCACTGTTGGGACGGAGGTGGAAGGGACCACCAATTGATCAGAGTACAGGAATCAGCCGGCACTCGTCGAATCGGTTCGACGCGGTAAACTTTAGTTTCCACGGCAAAGTGCACTCCTCCGTCCCGTCCCGCTTAATTACTCATTCGGAAAGTTGGTGAAACTCGCTTTAAGCAAGTTCCTTCCGCAACGCAGCGGCTGGAAGAAGGAGCTCCGGCGCATCTCGCCGTACTCGATATGCGATTACGCAGAATAAACTCGCGTCGATCGGACAAACTCGTGGAAATTACGCGGCGCAGCTTCGAAACTCTTAATGGCTAAATAACCGCTTTTGCTGCGCGTCCTCCCGCGTCTCAATGTTTTCGCTCTTAATCGATTGCGCCAGTTTTATCTCTCGCGAATCTATATAGTCTTTCGAGTCGAAATTTTCTCCCATCGTCTCTCGCGCAATTTTCAATTCTATACCCATTTTATAAAAAAATCAAGCTAAATTATTTACCTATGTACTTTTGTCGGAAGCTCTTACTTCAAGTTTAAAACTGATTGTCCAAGATTTGAGGTAAGTAGAAACTCAATTTCCATGTAAATGAAACCTATTAAGATCCTGTAGAAAATGTATGAAAATATGCGTGATAATGAGACGAGAAAATTTCGACTTGTGCTTTCTAGGCGACGTTAAAGATAATAAAGAATATTCGCGGGTGTGATTTACATGGTTTTTTTTTCAGATACGGAAAACCCCAAAGTTACAATGTGTCCCACGTCCTTCGAAGTCAGATTGAGTCCGGGGGAGCGAAACCGTCTGATATTCTGGCAAGAGCCAACGTTCACCGACAACGTCGCAGTGGAACACGTTTATAAGACGAAGGTACGTGCGGCTCGTATATTTCGCGGCACTATCAATCCTCAAATGTGCTCAAATGCGCAGTTTTTCTTCTTGCAAAATCCGCGGCCGAAATTCGTCACTTTTCCGTCGCGCGGACGCTTCTCGAGTTAATATTCTCAGTTTGCGCGCGATCGTTGACAACGGGCGTATACATTAATATCGAGAACAAAGATCGTTCATTAATTATCCGTTTCATATATTTCGAGACTTTGCGAAAGGACTCGCGAACGCAGTGAAAGATATCTGCGAGATTTTCTTTGCTATAGTATATCCTTGTTCGAAAAAACCGTCGCAGTGGAATACGTTTATAGGACGAAGGTACGTGCGGCTCGTATATTCCGCGGCACTATCAATCCTCAAATGTGCTCAAATGCGCAGTTTTTCTTTTTGCAAAATCCGCGGCCAAAATTTGTCACTTTTCCGTCGCGCGGACGCTTCTCGAGTTAATATTCTCAGTTTCCAAGTTTGCGCGCGATCGTTGACAACGGGCGTATACATTAATATCGAGAACAAAGATCGTTCATTAATTATCCGTTTCATATATTTCGAGACTTTGCGAAAGGACTCGCGAACGCAGTGAAAGATATCTGCGAGATTTTCTTTGCTATAGTATATCTTTGTTCGAAAAAACCGGCCGGGACCGGACGATTAATCATTGTCAGAGGAGGGCGACGCCCCTCCCGTTTTCCTTTTACTTTTCTGGCGTTTTGCCGGCAAAAGGGGTTGTACGTGTACTTTATTAACGTAATAACAGAGATTACCCTGTCTGTGCGCGCGATAACCGGAGCGCGGATAATTGGTGGCTTTGCGCCCCCTCGATAGGGCGGATTATAAATGATCCTGGACATTATGCAACCTGTGACAGTTAATCTGATTAGGCAAATTGAAACGAGGATCTCGCGCGAGTAAGTAGCTGCTTCGTTAATCGGTCGTGTAAAAAAAAAGAGAGAGATCGGGAGGGAGAAAAAATATCGAATCCCATCGCGACGATCACTCATTAATTTTTGCCGATGAGCGTTCAGGCGAGATTGCTCCGATATATATACGTACCCTCGAGAGATATTCTCCTGGAGGGAAATTTGCATGCAGTCGCGCGCGAAAAGTTAATTATCGTACATCTCTCGCATATATATGTATAGGGTCCCGGACACGTGATGTATCCCGGAGTTCACAGCGTGCGCTACGTCGCCTCGGATGCAGCCGGAAATCGAGCCGAATGCCATTTCTCGATACACGTGAGAGGTAAATTTACGCTATTGTACCCCTTCTCCACCCCGAGAGACCGGAAACGGATTCTCGCGGCGAAACGTGTTGCGCAACGCAACGCAACGTCGATTCTTTTCAAACGTGAAATATTATCACGTTTTTCCCTCTCCTCCTTCTAGGAAATATACAGGGTGTATCTAAAAAAGTGCGACTTTTACATGATTCTTTGTCGAAAATTAAGGGGGTTTTCTTATATCAAAGTTCTGATGAAAAATTAAATAGGGGTTGTTAGTTTCATCCTCTTATATAACGATACTGGGAGATACAAATAATATTAATAAATATTCATTTATTTCCTTCTCCTCCTTTTAATAAATGTACAGGGGGTATCTAAAAAAGTGCGACAAATTTTACATGATTTTTCGTCGAAAATTAAGGGAACTTTCTTATATATATAAGTTCTGATAAAAAATTAAATAGGAGTTGTTAGTTTCATCCCCTTATATAACGATACTGGGAGATACAAATAATATTAATAAATATTCGTTTATTTCTTTCTCCTCCTTCTAATAAATGTACAGGGGGTATCTAAAAAAGTGCGACAAATTTTACATGATTTTTCGTCGAAAATTAAGGGAACTTTCTTATATATATAAGTTCTGATAAAAAATTAAATAGGAGTTGTTAGTTTCATCCCCTTATATAACGATACTGGGAGATACAAATAATATTAATAAATATTCGTTTATTTCTTTCTCCTCCTTCTAATAAATGTACAGGGGTATCTAAAAAAGTGCGACAAATTTTACATGATTTTTCCGAAAATTAAGGGAACTTTCTTATATATATAAGTTCTAATAAAAAATTAATTAGGGTTGTTAGTTTTATCCCCTTATAACGATACAGGGAGATACAAACAATATTAATAAATATTCGTTTATTTCCTTCTCCTCCTTCTAGTAAATATACAGAGTGTATCTAAAAAAGTGCGACAAATTTTACATGATTTTTCGTCGAAAATTAAGGGAACTTTCTTATATCAAAGTTCTGATGAAAAATTGATTAGGGGTTGTTAGTTTCATCCTCTTATATAACGATACAGGGAGATACAAATAATATTAATAAATATTCGTTTATTTCTTTCTCCTCCTTCTAATAAATGTACAAGGGGTATCTAAAAAAGTGCGACAAATTTTACATGATTTTTCGTCGAAAATTAAGGGAACTTTCTTATATATATAAGTTCTGATAAAAAATTAAATAGGAGTTGTTAGTTTCATCCTCTTATATAACGATACAGGGAGATACAAATAACATTAATAAATATTCGTTTATTTCCTTCTCCTCCTTCTAGTAAATATACAGGGTGTATCTAAGTAAGTGCGACAAATTTTACATGATTCTTTGTCGAAAATTAAGGGGGCTTTTTTATATCAAAGTTCTGATGAAAAATTAAATAGGGGTTGTTAGTTTTATTCTCTTATATAACGATACAGGGAGATACAAACAACATTAATAAATATTCTTTTTATTAGTGGAAAATATCCAAGTTTCATTTTTTTAATTTGTCTGAAATTTGAGAAAAAAGTAAAAACTTAATTTTTACCTCCCTCTTTAGAAAAGTGTAACTTTTCAAGGACGGATATAAGCATGAGTGTCCGCAGAGGAGACATTTACCCTCCTTGAAATCAGCAAAAAAATTAAACATTTCCTCTTCTTTTGAACACCAAAATTTATTTGCATATGTAATATAAAAAAATTAAAATAAAACAAAATAAAAAAAAATTATTTATGCCCCTTCCTGAGCAAAAAATCCTGCGAACGCCCATGGATATAAGAATATATATTGATCATCACATTGTTTTAAGAATATATATGTTTATACAAGAAACCCTCCTTAATTTTTGAAAAAGAATCATCTCAAATTTTTCGCACTTATTTAGATACACCCTGTATTCCGTAATTGCGGAGAAAACGATCGATCAAAATACGCTTGTATTTTTGCAGAATCCGAGGAGGATCATAATCATAGTTCCGAAGTGAGTATAAAACATTTTTATCTTCTCTCTCCCGTTTCTAAAAAAAAAAAAAAAAGAGGGAAAAATATTGCCTTTTACATATTAATAAAAAAAAATAAAAAATAAATTTTCCGCGAACGAAAATATCTAGATATCGATATCCTCTCCGGGAGCGTTTAAAGCGAAATGGTTTTGTCGCGCGTTCGCGGAAAGAGATCCTTTCAAGGATATAGTCGTAGATTAAAGTCGCGGGAGAGAAATTCATGTGCGAGACCGGGGCTCAATGCACTTATCTCCTCGTTTAGCCGAGATTCTACAGAAGAAAGATGCTGATGTGTCCCGGCAGACCGCCCCAGTCCGTGCCGAGCTCCTCTTACAACGTAAGTAGACGAGAGGTTTTTCGTGATTGCGCAAGAGAGCGAAATGTGGGTGGGAGAGGGATGAAAATTCTACGACTATCCTAATAACCCGATTTGCAGTGGCAAATACCAAGCGGTTGTTACCTGAGATACACCAGAATCTTCTCGGGAGCTTATCAGCGGCATCCGGAACGTCGGCAGAACGGTTATCAGGATGCTGGCGCTTCTTATCGCGAACTTCCGCCCATCCAGCAGATCCAAACTCGCGAAGACGTCGCCGCGCCGTACAACAATGATGATTGTAAGTTATAATGTGCTCGTTTTTCGCTATCGAGACAAACACGCTTATTAATGCAAGTGAATACAAAATGTTCTACAGAGGGACAGAAAAGGGAGAGGAGAGTTGGACTCAGGATATTGGCTTTTTTTAAGAGACGACACACAATTTTTTTTTTTTTTAAATAGAAAATATACTAAAATAAAAAAATGTGTGATTTATCGCTGTCGCAGGATTTTGATCTGGTTTTTAAATTTATAACGTTAAAATGAATTATATAAATACCTGTATGAGAATAGTAATCTACAAAAATATATATAAATACTATATTAATATAGTATAATTATTATTTATATAATATAATATTTATATTATATAAATAATATCTAAATCTATGTAAATAATATAAAACTGTATATATATATAAATGATATTTATAACAATAAAAAATATACAAACAATGAGAAAAGCATCAGAAAAATGTCACAACTATACGTTCGAGAAATAAATAATTTATCCAGCACACTAACACCAGCGATTCGAATGCAGCCGCGGAAAGGAAAGTCGAGGAAAAAGAAGAAGAACGAAGTGACATCGAGAAGTATATCGGCAATCAGCTCGATTATCGAGAAAACACTGCTGTTGGCTATTGGCAGCGCAGTGGCAGTCCGTGGCATCGATCGCCCTCGAATTTCGAATTTCCAGGCCGCGATCTATCTCAGGGTCTCTAAAGGTGAAAAACGAGACGCGCGAACGACAGGAGAGGAACGCTTTGCAATAACGACCGACGTGATCGAAGCGCAAGCGGATCGGAATGTTGAACGTGCTCGCGCCCGGGAAGCTCGTCTTAACCCTACAATCGACGCCACCCTTCGTCGTCGAGAGCGCCCTCGCTTTAGCCCTGACGATCTTGTTAGCGGCGCCGCTGATCGTGCGCGTTTACTTCCTGCTCGTACGTGATGAATTATCTTCTTCGAATAAGATAGCCCCCGGCAGCGCTGAATTTACGCGAGTGTAACCGTAGAAGTGGCGCGCGACACACGAATGGTGTGTAACAACTTTTATTCGGGATTCGCGAAAGCCAAGAGAGAGAGAAAACGAGTTTTTTTTAATTTTTTATTTTCCTTTTTTTCATACGCGACGTGCCGCGTTATCTCGGCAAAATGTTCGGGAACGCGCTTTAAAACGGCCCGGGTGTCGATAACTCTCGCACCCTCGCAAACGCTTCCCGCGGTGGTTGAGCGGAAGCACTGCTGGACTGTAAATTTTCCAATTTCTTTCGCAGCGAAACCGCGATATAACGCTGTTTGTAACACAATAGCGCCACCACCACCACCCGGGTACTCCATTCAAGGCGATGTACAGATCGAATGGCCGCTATATCATTAAATTGGCGACGAGGACATTTTCTCGACAGGATCTACGTCTTTCTTATACGGTGTGTTTCTAAAACCACGTCAGATATTTTAAGGGTGTAATCTAGGTGTCAAAATAAACATGGATTTAAAAATGCTTTTTTTCCGAGTTACAACGCCCTAAAAAGCCCTGTTGAAAAAATCATTTTCTCGATCTGTGCAAAAACCTCGGAGGGAAAGAAGCATCTTTGAACCCATGTTTATAGGAACTTTTTTTTTATTTTGACTTCTAGAATACATTCTTAAAATTTCTGACAGTTTGAGAAACACCCTGTGTATAGAAAGTTTTTTTCCGAGTTACAGCCCCCTAAAAAACCGCGTTGAAAAAATAATTTTCTCGATCTGTGCAAAAACCTCGGAGGGAAAGAAGCATCTTTGAACCCAAGGTTTATAGGAACTTTTTTTTTATTTTCTAGAATACACTCTTAAAATGTCTGAGACAGTTTTAGAAACACCCTGTATAGAAGCTTGCGCAATTATAGGAAGGTTCGAAAATGACATTAAAATGTGTCTTCCGTGCCTAAAAGACTTCCTGGAATATGTTGTTATTACGTGTAGGAGCCACTGAAGGTCTTCGAGGGGAAAGCCACTTCCTGGGCCTCTCGTCGTCGTCGTCGGCATCACAATTATGCTCAATCTCGGTCATTGGTAACCCATTATCCGGCTCGAGTCGCGACCGAGTCCACTTCGAGTTCCAGTCTACGTCCGGATTCGACTCGCGGGATGAACTCCGCGTCGGTTTTGCAAAGCAGCGACGCTACGTCGAGGATTTCCGGCCGAGTCGAGAAACGGCGGATCGTCGATACATCGAGCCTCGATTACCGGGCCTATCGTCACAAGCTGGTCGAGGCTACCCTGAGGAAGCGATACGACGACTCGCAGCCACCGGGTGACGTCGTCTTGAACTCGCTGCACCTTAACCCGGCCGATTCGACGATCGGCGTCCGATTGAACGATCGATACGATCACAGCCTCTTCGATTTCATCGAGGAATATTATGACGTCGCCGGGCGAAGAACCGGAACAAAATCCTCGAGTATCCTCGTCCGATGGAGCATTTTTGGAGCAAAGCCGCGAGAAGACCCCGAACCACCGAGAAGGAGACCGAAACGATTCCCGACGAGAGTGTCGAACGTCGATCTCCCGAGGACGGGAACGATTTCCCGGAAAACGACAATGGCAACTTGCCAAATCGCCCGGGATGGATAATAACGGGAATCCGTGCGTTCCTTCGCCGGCGCGAAGCATCTCGCTCGAGGATAACGTCGTCCCCACCATCGCCAGGAGCGATTTAAATTCGAAATTGCAGGTACCGAGAAGAGAGATCGAGATTCTACCGCGAAACTGCGGGAGAGGCGGATGTGACGTGGAAAAGGACGACTCGTGGATGCCGAACAGCCTGGCGAGTGCCGAAATCGTCGAGAAGAAAAGAGCAAAGACGATCGCGACCGGCCGATCGCGCGATTTTAAGGAAAATGACCTGGAAAATTCCCCAACCCGGAGATCCTCGTCGGGAAAACGTGATCGTTCCGCGGAAAAGTCGCGCTTGATCTCGGCGAGTTCCAGCGAGCTCGTCAGCGTCTGCAGCGATTCCAGCGGTAAACGTCGACGAAATCGGGACGAGACGACGCGTCGTTCGCGCGAGTCATCGATCAGTCGCGCGTCCTCGCGTCCTCCCTGGATGTCCGGGAACCTGCGCGGGACCTCGTTCAACCGGAAGTACGGAAATGCTTCCCGGGACGCGAAATCCACGAGGCGCGGAGCCGCCATTTTGTGCCGGGAAGATCGGCGGACGGATGTCGTAAGTCGTAAGAGTTTTATCGCGTCCTCGATCGCTTGTCAACAGCGGGACAAATCGGGGGATGTCGGAAGCGCCAAGCGAGCGGAAAGTAACGACGTCACTTCCGTCCATCCTTCCGTGACGAGGGAACCGAGATTAACGAGCCGCGGCGGCGCGAAAAAGGAGCCCGGAACGACGTCACCGGACGTCGCTGGGCGAGATCGGTGGAGAAAGGAGGAGAATGAGATGGAAGAGAGGTCGACGAAATTAAATCGCGACGGAAGACGACGACTAAGAAGCGCGGAGAATCCGTCCAAAGGCGCGTCGCTAAGCCCGAAGATTGAATTATCCGGCGAGGTGTTAAGCCCTGCCGACGATACCGATAAATCCGCGATCCCCGATGGCGAGAGACCGGAGGAGCTGGTTATAACCCGGATCGATCCTCGGGGAGACGCGAAAGGAGCGGTCCCGAAGGATATAAAGTCTAATAATATTAATATTAACGTCGTCCCTCGGACAAAGCTGCCGAAAATTATGCAGAATCCGCGAGCGAACAACAATCTTCCCGGGAAGATTGACGAGAGCGAGAAACGACGAACGGATGCAAATTCCGGGACTAGGAGCGGATTAAACGCCGCGAAATTGAATACTCGATCAAACAGCGCGGCCGAGATGAGATGCGACGAGTCTTCGAAGGTCGATCCGGAGGAATTGCAGCTTCCGCGACGCGACTCCAACATGGATCTCGTGATGAATGAGGGTTTAAAGAGGTATATCAGGATACTGAAACATAGCTTGCAGGACGACGATAATCAAGAGGACGCGGTATCGTTGGCGTCTCTGAGCCTCTCCGACGCCATCTTGTCGGAGCCGAAGACGCCTCTGTCTCCCGAGGAGACGCAAAAATTACAAAATGTACTCGATAAGATTGAACAAAATCCTGAATTATTAGGCGAGAAATAGTGTTTGGATGTCGAAGCGTTGTGTAAAAAAAAAAAAAAAAAAAAAAAAACAAACAAATATCATGTGTACACGAAACACATTGCACGACATTTACAACATCGTGTTTTTCGAACGTAATTATTATAAGCTTTGTTATATAAAACGATTTGCAGTTTGTTGCGCATTAAGCCAAGCGTAACGAATTTCGAATGTAAACTCGTTTAAATTGATAGTAGGAATAATTAAAACAAAATACAAAGAGCGAAATAATTGGCGAGCAAACAAATAGAATCGTGATCGATGTTTATATATATTTATATATATATATCCCCCTCCGGCATTATTATCTTTATCAAATCGTATGTATATTACTCTAACAAATATTATATTATGTGTACGTTTGGAATAATAATGTAGATATGTATTTTTCCATATATTATGGAGCAAAATTTAAACTCAAAATCACTAAACATTGATCGCAAGAAATTCATATTTTTGCGTCTGCGCGCGAGGAAAATTATCATGTAACTTGATTTTTCTACCAAGTAAACGTCTTTTCAATATTGGGGAGTAAATTATCGCTGCTTCAATTTACAATTGCGATACTAATTAAGAAAATTGAGGGTTGTCTCTCTTTCTCTCCCTCTTTTTTTTTTTTTTAAACGATGTATCGTATTATTTTGCGCGTATAATTACAGAAGCAAGTAATACAGTATTTACTGCTATATCTAAATAAAATTATATAGATGATCATCTAGATGAAATTTTGGCGTCATCTTATCTTTACATATAGATAATAAAAATATGTATTATTTATATTGTTCAGATATTTAGAGCCATAGCTCATAAAAATATTTAATTAGTAAATTATCTAGATGAATCGCCATATAATTTTATCTTTTATCTAGATATATATTTAAAATAAAAATCTAAAATGCGAATTTGCATATTTTTGTCTCATCTTTATCTAACTAATTTAAAAATCATAACACTTGAAGTTAATTTAAACTTGGTGATCGTTCAATAGCACAATTTCTAGCAAGGAAAGCTAACATCCGCGACATAACAATGAACCGACACGATTAAGTGCCGTTGGCGAACCGCAAAATAGTTAATGAACAGCCTCAAACAGTTCTCTCTTTGCCTCTCTTCCTCTTTGCCCGCGAGATGTTGCCGCATGATTTACGTACGCAGATTCGCAACGCAATCTCTTAAGCAAGTTAGCGCCACCAGCTTATTAATGAGACATAAAAAGGGGAAAGAGGACAACGGCAACGTGCAGACGGAAAGTGTTTCCCGGGATGACGACAGTCACTTACCGAAGATATAAAACCAAGTTGCTCCGTCATCTTCGCGCAAAACACGTTTTCGCACTTTTGACTATGATAATAATACAATAACGACATCGTAGCGATCATGGTGACGAATGGAAAACTGGTTGTCTCTGAATTTTATTTATTTTCAACAACGTTCATCCGTGGAGAAAAATTTGTCGCTTTTTGTGCACTTAAAGTGTGCTTTAGTCAGAAAAAAAGTTTGATATTAAAAGAGCCGCGCTATTAACGACGTTGTCGAAAGCTACTTGGATCATCGCTATAATGTACTTTCATCCCCTTCTGTGCAGTCTTTGAAGCATCGGGCTTTCGGTGTAACCTAATCAATCTTAGTAATCTGACGTGGATTGACTTTATATGATTAACGACGGCATTTGGACAGTTTTTGTTTGCCACTTGGACTGTTCACCCCAGCCAGTTCTTTTCGCAACGACTCCATCTAAAAGCTCCATCCAGAAGAGCTTTCCGGAATTTCTTAACGCCAACTATCTGACCTATTTCTTACTTGTGTAGGAAGCCACTTGCACCAGTCGAGGCACAATCAGCAACAGCTGGCGATCCACGTTTTCGCGTTAAAAATTATTAAATACTTATTTCGATAATTATATATGATATTTTTATAATTTTCGAAAATTAAAATTTTATATATTCTTTTTACTCCAAAACTGTACATTAGAAACATTCTAATTTTATTTTGAGCTTTTTTATATCTGAGATCCAAAAAATTCACTTCGTATACTCTTGCGTTACGCACATAAATATAATATGTTTCAATAGATGTGTTTATGAGGAAAATGAATGCGAAAATGCGTTCCTTGAGATAATATTTCCAACTATGTCTCTCTCTCTCTTTCTCTCATCTCTCTTACTCTCTCATTTATATACAGCGAAAGTCGATAACGGGAGAATATGTTCTCAGATCGACACTCCGGGCGACAGCATGAACCCTGGCAAGCTCAGGAGCAGCGGCGGCGGCAGCAGCAGCAGCAGCTGTTGCACCGGCAATATCGGCAACGCGCGACGAGGACCGATCACGTAGTCTCGCCACCGACTCATTACGGTGGCGCGGGCCGCGTCGAGACGAGAATATTGCCGCCGCGGCATGAATGTTGCACGTAAGAGCAACCCGTGAACGACGTGTAATAAGCGAACACGTAAGTTAAGTCGGCGCGAGGGAAAATTCCAAATCGCGCTGGAGCATCTGCGGACAATCTTGACTCGCGTATACAGGATGTCCAGGCACCAATCATTTTCGAGTTATAAACTGTTGAAAATGAAAGCTTTCTTTTGTAAACTAAGCCTTGGAAAAATAAATTATTAACAAGACTACATTTTGTAGTTAATTTCAGGTAGTGTTTACTTTAATAGAATTTTAATTTAAGGCTTAGTTACGAAGATACATGATTTCAAAAAATTGGGAATATTAAAGAAATGATGATCTTTCTCGACATTTTCGCTGAGGAAAAATCGTCTAGGTCTGGAACACCCTGTATTTACCGTTGCATATGGATGGGATGGAGCAGCCGAAAAAATAGAAAAATAAGTATATCTTGTTTCGCGTTGCGTATAATAGCATGTTTTGGTTTTACGAGCGATTTTTAAGGCTCCTGCCTCTTCGCCGATCATGGAATTGTGACATCAGAGGCGAAAAAACACACGATTAGCATACTTTTAAAATAGTCCCATCTTTTTCCCTTTATAATCAATTAACATCCAGTAAACACAGTAATATTATGTAAATGTTACGTTTCCAAAGGTAACAAGTAATGTTGGTGAACGTTACAGGTAACGTTTATGTTAGTTGTTTTATCTCACTCATGGATGTAACATGTAATGTTATAGTACAATAAATATGTAATATAACATTGCGGTAGATATGTAACAATGTTGCAATTGTTATATAATATATGCGTATCTTTTAATTACTATGTAATATGACATTAAAATAAATTATGATACATTAATATTCTTCTAAATATAATAATTGTTACTCTGTTTGTAGCATATAACTGTAGTATAATATATAATATGTAGTATAATAAACTGTGTTTACTGGGCAGCTGGTAAATGATAAAATCTGATATCACGATCGATGGAAAATAATAGTTTTTGGATTATTTCACAAGTGTGTCAAAGAGATTTGTAGAGTTGTTTCTTATCAAAATATGTTTTTATGTAAAAATGGCACGCGCAAGAATTTTCAGCCTCTGACGTCACAATCCAACATGGCCGCGGCGAGGATCCAGGAGCCTTAAATATAATATTTTCCTCGCGCAATCTTTCGATTAAAAAGTATCGTACGATTTTTATTATAATTGTCACTTTTCTGAAATTTCTCGAATAATTCTTCGAGTAATTTTCGAAATCAAGATTCGAATTTTATTATTCGAACGAAACTGCGGTAATTATTTACGCGTATAGCTACTGCTCGTGAGTTAACGGTACCTAGTAATATAAACTGCCATATGCTGTAATAAGAAAGATAGATGTAAAATAAGATTCCGCGAGGACCGAAGCATCTTTGACGACGTCATAAAACTCGTCTCTTCTTCTTTTTTAAATAAATCGTAGTAATTATTTATGATCGTGTTTACCGCAATTTATGCAGTCTGGCGATTTTTGTAATATATATATATATATATATATATATATATATATAATAATATATATATACACACACACACAAACGCAACCACACACATGTATATGTATACACGTATATATATTTGATACATAAATTTTGTACATCTATAATAATAATAATAATAATGCTGATAATAATAATAATATCGTATGACAATCGATAACATTATCGATAACAATGATATGCGAGTGACGTGGAGGAGAGTTTAATTAATAATAAATAGTAAAATCTATCTGCGTGTGTGTCTTACCTATACGCCACCGCAGACTTCGGGAAAGGGAGAAGGAGAATTACATTTGCACCGGCCAGGGGTTAATAAATTTACTCATCAGACATTGCACACGTGGATTCTTTTTTACAACTCGCTATTCATGTATAGCTGGAATCGGTCACTGAATTAATTCTCCGCGGGTCTATTAAATAGTACACGTTGAACAATCTTTGAAGCGGAAAATTCCACTCGACGCGAGCTCTAAGCTTGGTTTCAGCTCTCTTCCCACCGATTATCCCTTTACGTTACGCTACCCCAGCCGCGAAACCATCGCGCGGTTAGAGACCGCGGTTATTGAAGCCAGCTCTCTCTCTCTCTCTCTCTCTATCTCTCTGGCAACGAGAGTTATTAATTGATCGGTGACGCAAGTTTGAGCGTTCTTTGAAATGGGAATGTGTATATGAATAAGTTGCGCGCCGCAAAAACACGTGTTGTACACAGCTTGGGACTCTGTTTCACATTTCATTTCTATATGTACGCACGGTGACAAAAGATGTAATTAGCTCGCATTAAATGTTAAGAAAACGAGCGACGTTTATTTTCTCTCTCCCTCTCTCTCTCTTTCTCTGTTTGTTGTAAATATACACTATGCATCGTCTCGCTCTCCTGCGCGACGATGAATGACGTTGTAATTAAATGGTGGTTAATTATTTCTCCGCGCCAACTACTGTGTATAGACTTATTTCGCGTATATACTTGGTGAGATTTACTTTTTCCGCAAACTCACGAGAGAATTGCCTCGAGAATTTTTTATTCGTTTCTCTTTAATATAAATAGGTCGAAGGAGAAGAAAGAGAGAGAGAGAGAGAGACGACGATACACGAGAGATTATTTAGTCGTTAAAAATGATGGGAAAAGAGATTGGCAAGTAGTGAAGAAAAAATGAGAAAAATATAGCGATTGATAATTGCGTCGTGAGAAAATGATGGACAACTTCAATTATTCCTGTTGCTCGAAGAAGCGACCCGAGACTATTCAATATCGAGAGACAGAGTAGGAGTAATAATAATAATAATTGTTTGACACATTGTTATTACACACCTGTGTTAATCTCGCATTTCTATCAATAGCTATAGGTAGTGTTTGCTGTTATCTAAATAAAATTATATAGATGATTAAGCTAGATGAAACTTTGGCGTCATCTTTATATAGATAAAACATATTTTTAGATGAAAAAAGTGGTGTCTTTGCTAAATTATCTAGAATAATGTTCAGATAATTTGCTTTAGAGTTATAACACGCAAAAATACTTTAGTAGAACTTAAATAGTAAGTGATAAAAAACTTAAACATAAATAAAAATAGGAATATATTTTCCATATAATATTATCTTTTATATATTTTTATCTTTTCCGTATAATTTTATCTTTTATCTAGATATATTTAAAACAAAATCTGATGAATTTACATATTTTCATCTCATCTCTTTCTAGTTAATTTTCAAATCATCTAAGCACAACACTGGCTATAGGACACTTGAAAATCACGCGAGACGCGTTATCTCGAGACCGATAAAGCGATATTATAACGTGTTTGCATCTCTCTCTCTCTCTCTCTCTCTCTGTGCTCAGTATATTGCATTATCCGGTGCTTAACACCAACGTCGCTTCTGTTCGCTCGCGTGACTTTGACAGAGACCCAGCATTGATCCTGTCTATTGTCTGACCTGTCAGCCGGTGCACAATTCGGCTGGAATCTTATCAACGGGAAGGAATCCTTCGACTTTGGCGGATAATAAACGAAGGACACGCGGTCGAGCCTCGTTAATTACTATCGGGATATATTTGGAGAATATGTGTGTTACATATCGTATACACAAGTGTAAATGTTTCGCAATTCTCGCTGGATGCAGTGATGACGTAACCGCGCTGTGTTAATTTCCGTTTAACGTAAAACCGGGACTCGATAACGCGAATTTCGCGTTTACGCTACATCTCGCGGCATTGTATATATTACCGGAGAGTGCACAACCGGTCTGCGGTTGCGATAAAAATTATATTACAAGGTAAAATATTACGTGGAGGAGAAGAGCTAGGGGAAACAGGAGAAGGGAGTTTTTCGAGCCGCAAAATCGGAGGTTTAATTTTATGCGCCGGGAAAATTTTATGCGCAACATAAACATCTGAATTGAATATAACCATCGAGGCTTTTAATTTTTTTCTTTTTTTCTTTTTTTTTTTTTTTAAGGAAGATTGCGCATTTTCTTTCCCTCTATCCTCCTCCTCTACGTAAAATATTATTATTATTATCGCTTCTTTGTAAGCGTCGTTACAACGCTACTCTATCGTTACGTTACTCTATCAAAAGTGGCAGTCGACGCATAATTCGATCTCGTAAAACTATCGAGTGTAGAGATTATACACTCGTTAGGGGGTGTACTTTCGTCTCCCCTGTCGCGCGGATGTCGAGAAAAGGAGGTAAAAGGAGGAGAGTCGCGCGTGCGAAAAAATGGAGATACCTAGTCGCATTTTTTTTCTCTCTTTCCCTCCACGTGTAACCTGCCGGACAAAACGGAATCCATTACGGGGCCTACGTAAGAAGAGACGGCGTCCCGTAGCCATTTCCATTTATATTACCTTATCGTTATTCTTCCGCGCTGCTTTTCGCTAGGTTTCTCTCTCCCATGTGCGAATGTCGGGCTTCTGCCAGAGTTGTCAACATGGCCCAGAAGTGGCACAATATTGGCTGCCAAGACTTGATAAGTGGTACTGCCCCAGTACGGATAAACCACTAGATCAATACTGTACCAGTCTCGGTAATTGGTATCGATGGCCGAGAATCGTCTCAGTACTGGGCATGTATTGAGTCGACTCGTGTCGGATTACTGGGAAGCAAGAAACTTTGTCCGCAGCACGAGTACCGGTTCAAGTATACTGGAAGCAAATTGGGCCAATGTTTGTGTACCGTACTGACACAAAATATTTTCTATACCGAGCCAAATATCGTATCAGTACTGGGCGAGACGTGAAATAGTACTGAGATGATAAAATTATGCTGGATCAGCACTGGGAATACATTGGGCCATACGTTGGTGTATGACAACAAATATTTTTATTTTGAAACATTAATTTATAATGATTTTAAACATATCGGTTATTCTAATGTTAGATTTGGCCCAATACAGACTAATCAATATGGCCCAATACTGATAACGAATGTTGTCCCAGTACTAATACTTTGTGTCGGGCCAAAGTTGGCATCAAGAGTTGGCCCAACATTGGCAATCAACGATGCCTCTGTACTAATACTCTGTGTGTCGGGCCAAAGTTGGCGCCGAGACTGGGACCCGTGTTATCATTCCGACATTGTCCCAGTAATGAACCCGATCTCAACTTATACCGGCCCAGAACGTCAGCCAGTATTGGCGACTCTGGCACCAGTATTGAGCCAGTACTGAGCCTTTTTGAGATTCGCACATGAGCTCTCTCTCTCTTTCTCTCCCTCTCTCTTTCTTTCCCTCACCCACCACATTCTCGTCCTGATACTGCCTCTCCAGCCTCCTTATTCCCGACGAAGGACCACGGTGAAGACGCATTTGCTCGACCAACCGGCGTCGTCACTCGCCTCGTACTCGATCCTGTGACCGCCGACGTCGAAGCGACGACCCGGACTCTGGGGCGAAAAAAAAAAAAACATCGTCGCCGACACACAAATCGCGAAGAGGAAGGAGGGAGGAAATTCGACGCGCAAGGGTGAAAATCCGCGGTGCGGTTTTTTGGGAGCGAAAATTTGGAGAACGGTATCCCGCTTCCGCGAGGATTTAATCGCCGAAATTTTCGCGGTGAAAATGGAAAATTACGCTTAACTAATTTCGCGGGCTCGCTTTGCGAATCCACTTTGCGAAAATCCAAACTCGCCCGCCAAACTTCCCCTTCTCTTTCTCTATCCTTTTCTCCGGATTTTAACGGCCCAACATTTACATAATTCATCAGGCAAACCACCGCGGTTTCGGGTTTCGCGAAATGATGAGGGAGAGCCGATAGCTATAAAATTCGAGTTATAATTGACATGCGTTAACAAATAAGCTAATTAAAGCGGCCAATAATATTGACGTCGCACATCAATTTTCAGATTGGCGCTAATTAATCAGTCGTTCGATGCGCCGCCGTAAAAGAAATTGTAATTGCACGTACATTTTATATCGCGCACCAGCCGTCGTATTCAAAGCACTCGTACCTATATGTATACGTACATATGTACGTACATATATGTATATATATATATATATGTGTGTGTGAATTTTTCCATTTTTATCCCGCTCTCTCTCTCGTATTTATCGAAGAATTTTCGCGCATTTGTAAAATGGCAATCTCCCTCGACACGTTACGTCAGATAATATCATATCTCGATAATAGGTGATTTCCGCGCTTATAAAATTATTAATGATTATTGAAAATGGAAGAAAATCGCGCTTTTCATTCAATCGCAAAATTGGCGCGATTATTAAACGCGCATAACATATATCGAATGAAGGCTTTTTACGACGCATCATGCATACCAAAATATTGATGCACTTGGTTATCGAATTATTAACCAATTTTTGTTTCAAACACCGCACCGTGTCGCGCGGTGATATTAGAGACGAAAATCACGCGCGTGTTAATTACAATGTTGATTATCGAACAATTATGTAAACGCCAATTTACACAAGTAGGTACACCGGAATGCTAATTTATTGTATAATTACTCGTGCCCGAAAATAAAATTGATGGGATCGACAAAAAAAATCTACAGTCCCAAGATAAAGAAAAACTGCGCATCTTTCGAACGATAAAAATTTGACAGATATGTCATATCTGATCTTACCTCGTTGTTACTGATTCGCGTCACCTTGACGTTATCCGTGAAGGTCGGCTCCGTCCACGTGATCGCAGTGCCATTTCCTCCGACAACTTCGATGTCTCCCGGGCAGTCTTTGACTTTCGGTGCCTCGCCGCCTGAAGAGAATTCAGAGATTAGCAAATCTCAAGTATAACAGCTGATCCACCCACGGAATTCCAACCCCATCGAGCGCTCTCTCGTTTTATCGTCCGCGTAGGTTCGGCGAGGAAATTGCGAGTCGTATAAGAAAACTTGGTGGAATCGAAACGCAGACGGCGTTTCTGAGAAAGTTCGATTTCCGCGTCGTCGTCGAATGATGAATCGGCAAAACGGCGAGATTATACAAGCGCAGAAGACTCGCGTCTGTGTGAGCGAACCTCGTTTCTTGCGCATCACGTATAACGTCACGTTGGTGAGAAAAAAATGTTTGCTCACACGTAAACAGTGCTTACTGTTATCAGTGTTGCGCTTAGATGTTTTTTAAATTAGCTGGATGAAGATGAGATAGAAATTTGTGAATTTATCTTAGATAAAGAGTACCATATTATCTGGAAGTTACCTAGACACAAATCGCCATATAATTTTATATTTTATCTATAGATATATTTAAAACAAAATCTATATATAAGATCAATTTACCCATATTTCCATATCTCATTTTGAACTAGTGAACTTTAAAATCATCCACTTCCACGTACTATATATATAAATACATTTTCTATATAAACGAACAAACGGAATAATTATTATAATTATTATGAAATTTAATTATTCTACAATTGTTACAATTTTAGTCGTTAAAATTCTGTTTAAAATTATTACAGTTATAATGTTTCATAATCTTGCAAAAGAGAAAGAGAGAAGAAGGGGGAGGGGGAGGGGAAAAGATGCACTTTGATCTTTCTGTATCGTACACTCATTGGTCTAGAAAAGCTGCTTATTCATGCGCCAAGTCCGTCGCTCGTTACGTCTTCGCGAGAAAGAAGTAGCGATTCTCAAGTTGCGCGCAGACTTGTCCGCAAAATCCAGGCCGCGTTTCTCGGAGAAAACTCGACGCTTCCGGTGCGAGGGAGCGTCGGTGATGAAGTTGGAGTTTGCATCAAATTAGTTTCGTCAGCTTACTTTTGGGCACACAAATAAGAACTCCCGTACTACTTTTGTACGGAGATTCTCGCCGAACGCTCGATTCTCAAATGCTGACGTTCGGTTAAACAAATTTGCACGTTAAATCGTTTTCAAGGAACTCGAACATAGAAAATACAAATCAAATAAACGCCAATGATTTTTTTTAATTCGCGATATAAGGACATATAAATCGAAATATTTATATAACAAAGAATAAAATAGGGCAAGTTCTGTTTTTTTTTTTTTTTTTTTTTTTTTTTTTTAAGCTCAACGCAGGCATTAAAGTACAAGAATTTACGAATTAGTCTCTCCGGAATTGTATACACGAATTTAATTCGATACAACGAGAATCGTTGTGCAACGCACGTATTTCGCTCGCGTTTTGAGGGATGCGCATCAAGAGGGTGGACAGGGAAGAAGACGTAATATTCTTATGATGCATTTTAAAGGATGCGCCGGCATCAACGAGAGAGAAAACTTTTGTTACATCAGACAAGACGAGCCGCGGAACAATTCGCCAGCGCGCGAGAGAAGATATATAATAATAATAATAATAATAATAATATAACAATAATAATAATGATAATAATAATGCACTCGGCCCTTTTCGCCGAGCGTAATTGCTCGCTCGCACGGCAACAATCTTTTCCGCGCAAATCCCGAACCTCGAGAAACGTAAACAAAGGGAGGAAATATTTCAATCTCGCGCCGTTAATCATCGGAGAAACTGCGGAGTATTCAGCGGCGGCTCTATAAGTGATGTACAGCGCGAGAGCTGCACTCTCTCTCTCTCTCTCTCTCTACATTCTGTTGCAGTTTATTTAACATGTGTTCCTCCTCCGCGATGGGATTAGCCGACCTCTATGTGTTAGCCTCCATCTCTATCCGTTATTAATCAAGATTTGCAATGTTCAAGAGACGTTTATCCGGTACCTTCTGCCGAGTGCAATCTCTATAATCCGGATTAATTAATGTAAGGGAAAGAGAGAGAGAGAGGAAGAACGTGTGTGGATTAACTCGAAGAAGTATAAGCGACCTCCTCGACTAAATGATCGCGTTTTTAGGAAGCTGACATTTATACGCGCGTAATATAAACATTTATATGGTACATCGCACAGGGAATTTACAGAGCGCTCGCAGTGCTCGCGCTCTTTTTTCTCGAGCAGAGATCGAAATTATTAACGATTTGCATTACGAAGATTGCGCTCTACACTCTTTGTGTCGCTCGAGCAAGAACACGAACAATGGGATATGAATTAAACCGAATGAGAAATATTATATTATGTATATGTACAGTACCCTCCATAAGTTTGGAAACACCTTACGTTTTATCTGTTATAAATAAAAATGTCATTTAAATATTTTATCGATAGAAAAAATCTACACAGATCGCTGCCATGCGATTGTTTAACTGTCAAACGTTAAGTGTTTCCAAACTTGTATACGATTAATAATATTTCAACAAATATACCGATAAAAAACATCCCGTTAAGTTTATATTCTTGTATGTTACGAATATCTAATTACAGAATATTTCTTTAGAGAATTTTTTTTTCTCTGAAATTAAGAGGAGAGATTTCTTTCGACAGATCTGTGTAGATTTTTTGTATAAATAAATCATAAAATAAACGTAAACTATTTAAATGACATTTTGATTGATAACAGATCGCTGTCATGCAATTCTTTAACTGTAAAATGTAAGGTGTTTCCAAACTTATGGAGGGCACTGTATATATAATAATATATCGTCGAGATAACGCGAAATGATGGTTCTCGCGCGCGTTTCCTGCCATTGTACAAATTACAAATTACACGTTGCACAATTACAAATTAATAATCGCCATTTCTCGCTCGTTATCAGAGAAACTGTCATTATCGCGGGCGCTCGAACGGGGAGGAATCATCATCGTTATTACGTTTATATTACGTAATACGTCGTTAACACGCGCAGATTAATTACCTTTGACGATAATGCGTAGCGCGCAGCTGGATTGTTTCTTCGATACCGGGTGTCGCGCGAAGAAGGTGATCTCGTGCATCCCGGGCTTCAGGCTGGCCTCGAGTCTGGTGCCCCAGGAAGGCTTCGATCTCACGTAACGGAACCAATCGAGATCGGTCGCCGGCTGATCGAAGGTCACGAACGCCTCGTCCCTACCAGGTGGTAACTCAGCCACGACGTCCCTCGGACACTCCAATCGGGGCTTGCTATATCCTGTCGCAAAGAACGTCGTCAATTTTTCCCACGCGACGACGAAGCCATGAAAAAGCGAATCACTCTCCCTCTTTCTTTTTCATCGCTCGTCCTCCGTTGAGATATAAAGAGGACAGCTTTTCCAATTTAAAAAATTCTTTATACTCTGCACTAAAAATTTAGGGATCCGTATTCGCGTATAAAAGTGCACGTCAGATTCAGATATCGCCGCGTTACAATTGTGATGTCAGAAGCGAGAAAGCACCCGCGACAAATTCTTAGATGCTATTTCGAAATAAAATGATATTTCGATGAAGCAGCACTTCGGATGGCCTTAGCGTACTTTTAAAATGTCTCGAAAACTATCCTTTTCCCTTTATTATCAATTCAAGTTCTACTAATTAAATATTTTTATTTACTGTAAACCAAATTATTTGAACATTATTCTAGAAAATTTAATAACACTTTTTTTCATCTAAGATGCAGATGTATAAAAAATTCTTACATGCCATTTGGAAATAAAAAGATATTTCGATGAAGCAGCACTTCGGATGGCTTTAGCACATACTCTTAAAATACCTCGAAAACTATCCTTTTCCCTTTATAATCAATTCAAGTTCTACTAATTAAATATTTTTATGTGCAATGACTCTAAATCAAATTATCTGAACATTATTCTAGATAATTTTCTAAAGATAACACTTTTATTCATCTCAGATGCAAATATAGATAAAACATATATTTTTGTTATCTATATAAAAATAAGATAACGTCCAAAAATTTCATCTATATAATTTTCTTTAGATAACAGCAAACACTGGCTAAAGCCGTCTGAAATATTTTGTCATTAGAAAATGGCATCTAAGAAATTTTCAGCGTGCGCTTGCTTTCTCGCCTTTAATGTCACAATTCTATGGTAGCGAGGATCCTTAAGCAAGACCGAGAGAGAGAGATATTTCCCCGATCGAAATCTCGCGCATCTTTTTATATAAAATTCCATACTCACGGACGCATCTTCCGTCCTCCGATCCGTCCCAAGCGCCGTCGGATCGACAGGTCAACTCGTATTCACCCCGAAGCTGATACCCACGAGGACACTTGAGGAAGCATCTCGTGCCGGGTCGATTGGGCACTTTTCGCCTGTCGCGCCACAACTTGGACGTGGCTAATCGGGAGCATATTAAATAACCACGACCGACCGGATTTAACGGGAGACACGCGATGCTATTTATGTCTGGAATAAAGGAACAAAACTCAGAATTATCTCTTCCTCTCGTGACGTAATTTAAATTTCAAATTTCCTAACTGAGATGATATTATTTTGGAAAACACCGTCGGTTCCTCTTGCAAAATTTCATTCGTCCAAACACGATAGAAGTAATCTTCGGAAATGTCATTCCATAATACTTAAGGAAATAAAGAAAATAATAAGCCCGAGCATATTTTTAAATTAAAATCGAAAAAATTTGATCACCGGATATCGAAGAAAATTATTACAAAGACTCTTATTAAATCGACGATTCAATAGCAATGTCATATATTCCAATGAAATTATTCATAACGAATATCGATCGTGGAACGAGAGAAACGCCGGCATAGAGTGTTTTTTTTTCCCTCCAAAATAATATTATCCCAATTACGATGACGGAAATAAAGCGACGGGGATATTTAGTGGCTATTCATCGGGGAGAGGAATTCACTCATTCATCGTTCTTCCTCTCGCGCTAAATGCAACCTGCTGGCTTGCGAACCGACAGCGTGCGCTAATGCGAGCCCAACATTCACGTCTGGCTCATAAACCGCGCAGATTCCGCGCGTAATCTATGTACGTGCGGAGAAACCCTCCACATTGACGCAGTGCTGTATGTCAGCTGCCGCATCAGCCGCTTCTACGGCATCAAATGCGATATGTACACGAGGCAGGAATTACAACTCCGCCGATGTGACGACGGTGGGAGAACCTATCCCAGGCGCTGATGCATCCGCGGAACTCGCTCCTGCGTGACAGCTTTGCATAATATGCCATCCTCGCGGATGCATCCGCGACTAACGCGCCGGGGTATATTCCATCCCGTCGCAAAAAAAAATGCGCGGTGCGCTTCGAAATTTATAAAGTTACACATAATTGAACGGTTAAGAAGTTGCCGCGCGCACAAAAGGACGACGTTGAGTGAAAACTTGGAGGAGCGGAAAGAGGGAAGAAGTTGAGTTGAAATTGGCCGAGGAAGTTTGCTCGCGTAGACGAGGGAAAAGCGTGACGAAACGCTCTGAAACACCCTGTACACACATGTATGTATGTACATAATTATGTATATGCATATTCCAACATGCGACGACATGTTTCGCTGCAGGTACGAACAGAGCGTGGAAAGTGATTTATCAAAGGAACACGTACCTACGCAGGATTTTCCATCGGATGACAGGGCTTTTTCATCCCCATCGCAAGCGCAGAAGAAGCTACCGTCTGTATTCTCGCACACCTCTGCGCATCCGCCGTTGTCAACCCCACACTCGTTGATATCTGAAGATAATACAAAGAGAGTCTGATTAGATTTTCCTACGTTATGACAAACTTTATTACGGGATATTATATTAAAAATATACAACGAAAAAGTGCATCATCTTTATTATTATTATACATTTTGTAGGATTTTGAGTTTAATCATTTCTCTCTCTATTCTTTTATAGTCGCTCACGCAGTGTTTGCTGATCTATCTAAATAAAATTATCCAGATGATCGTATAGATGAAACTTTGACATCATCTTATCTTTATATAGATAATAAAAATATGTATTATCTATATCTGCATTTTGGATGAAAAGGAGTATTATCTTTAATACTAAATTATCTAGAATAATGTTCAGATAATCTGATTTAAAGTCGCATAGCGCATAAAAAGTACTGAAAAGTAAATAAAAATTTGACTATATTTTTATATCCCTTTTATAATTTACATTTTTTATAACTGCGTTTACATAAGCAGTCTTCGATCGCCATATAATTTCATCTTTTATCTAAATATATTTCAAACAAAATCATCTTTATCTTATCTAAGATGAAAAATTTACATATTTTTGTCTTATCTTTATCTAACTAATGTTAAAATCATCTAAGCGCAACATTGCGCTCACGTTATACTTTATATAATCGATTAGGAAATTGCATCGAGTAATCTCATCGAGACTCGACTGTATGTTTAATCTAAAGGTCGACTCGATGCCTTTTTAAATACGAGAACGACGGTTCCTTGACAGATCAGACCGATCGTTTTCGCTACATCACGCTCAAGTGTTATATATAAGACTTCTTTCATTCGCGCCGTAATGACTCCTTGGCTGGCGATCTCGCTCTTCTTTGGTCTCCGATCTGTCTTTCAATCGTCGGCGAGATTACGCTAAATTGACCGAAGTGGCCGAGTCCGTTATTGCTTCGAGCACTCTCAATGATAGCCGAGAGCACTTGACTTTCGCTGCTTTCACGGCGTATAAATCTGTGCGGAAGTATACAGGGTGGACCGCACAATGCCGAGCCTTTTAATTTCAGCTACGAAATTAACGCTTCAATTCCCATTAATGTCATCCACAGATGGCACTTTTATCTCCCCAGCGCGATTAAATTGAAATTAAATTATTAAATTATTATTATTATTTTTTTTTTTTATTAAAATACGTATTGAGTTGTTACAGATGAAATGTCCGATTTTGCAATGTCAACGTTTAAAAGCTTTCTTTATTAATAAAAATTTTTTTATTTGTACACGTTTTATATATTATTTTAAAATTCGAAATTTGCCTTTTTATATCCGATTTTATTCTTCGGTTTAATTGATTTCGAATATTTTTTTCAATATTTGTTTTAATAAACGCGATTTTCGCGTACTTCTTTTTTTGTACGAGTAGAAAAGTGGCCATAATGTTGCAGCAGTCGCTCGAAACATTCATGCATTCGGCGAGAACTCTCAACGAACGTACCAGTAAAAAATTTTAATCTGGAGAGAAATGCCTCACAAATAACGATCGTGGACCTGAGACTATTGTTGATGACATTAGAGATTGAGACATTAAAAGTTGAAGCGGATTTATGTCAAATTGAGTTAGAAAAACATGGATTAATTCTTACTTTGATTTAAATTTTTTATTAACAAATATTTTTAATTTAAAAAATGTACGCGAAAATCATATTTATTCATATTAAAAAAAATATATTCCGCAAAAAGCACATTCGAAATCAATTAAACAATAAAATCAGATGTAAAATGACAAATTATGAGCTTTCAAATGATACGTATATAAAGATTTTTATTGACAAAGAAAACACTTCATATGGAACATCCTAATGAAACTACAAATTTTTCGAGAGAAATATAAAAGATTCTTATTCAAGTCATTATGGGAATTAAATTTTGTTCTTTGTTAATTAAAACCAACAGCATTCGGATTTATACATTTATCATCGAACAAATCTTCTTCCAATAACACTTCGGGTCATAGTATATTCGTTAAAAATTTTATTCGCATTTTTGATCCCTCGCACATTTTGCATATTAGTTCCATAAATATTTTAATGTGAATAATTTTAATATGAATTTTTATTCAATATGACGTTTCTCGTGAAAATGGGTAAGCATATATATATATATATACAGATGAGGTTTATTTGCTTATTTGAGAGGAATATTACTATAGCGAAAATTCCTTGTACCGAGAAAACCTTGCTCGCGAAAGAATTTCTTTCTTTCATCGTCGCTCCAGTTTTCCTCCCCCTCCTCTCACCCCCCGAAATCCGCATACCCTATACTCCTTCTCAGTCCACACCTCGGCCGTTCTTTTCAAGTTTTCCGGAGATTGTAAGATCATCGCGAAAGTCCACTTTTTCCCGGAACGAAGCGTCGCGCGTTGGGGTCTTTGCGGGCAAAATTAGAATTTCGCTTTGATGCGAGGAATATACCGGAGATTTTCATAAACGCGACATTTCGCGGAATCATTCGAGCGAGCATCTCCCTTCGTCGTCCTTAAAAAAAAAAAATCAGATCTCTTCCGGTCCTTTAAGGAAAACTTAATATCCTTTACCGATTGTCAAGTCTGTAAGAACATTTTACGAGTTGCTCCTCGTCGAATATAACCGCGGATTTTCGCGTTTTACACACATATGTATATATATATATATACACGTACATGCAAGGTCTGCAACATCTCCGCTTCAGTGCGACTGGATAATGTCGATCATCGTGGAATGCCGTTCACGTAACATTTCCCCGCTATTTAACGACCGAGGTTGCGAGGGAAAAAGGAGACGGAAATGGATTGAATTTCCGTGGAATAAGATTCGCAGACGTGCGAACATGAACGCCTGGGTAACGTTGTATCAACCTGGGGGCTGTAATGTTCCTGTCGGTATTCACGACCGCGTCAATTGTAATTGACGGATTTACGCCCCGCGAAATTGGATTGCCAGTTACGAGCTTCGGTGTACATCGGCGTGAACTGTATATATATATATATCGAAAAAGGGGCTGCGCGAAATCTCTTTTTTTCCTCTACATTTTTTTTAATATCGTAATATATCGTGAAATAACGCACGGAAAAATATGTAAATTTCGATATATGTGTACTCAAAATTTAAATTAGCACAAGCGCGCGTCTACAATTATAAACGTCCACAGAGAGACAAGCCGTAAAAAAAGCGTGTTACCATTTGTTTTATGATATATGTACATTTTATATGCGCGCAAAGTGAAAAGAGAGCGAGAAAAACGAAAAAGCCACAAAAGCATTCCCCGTATAAAAGGCCGATAAAAGCACTGCGTTTTTCCGATCGCGTCTTGCAAACGGATTGCAGCGGGACTGCATTTGTGCAAACTGAGAGGAGCCGCTTCGAGATATTCCAAAGTATTGAGGGAGAGAAACCCGCAACGGGACACCTAAGAAGGTCGCTCTCTCGAGAAATGCACGAATTGGCGAGAGAGAGAGAAAGAGAAACATCTCCTCTCTTTGTCTCCCTTTGGCCGAAAGCAGCCGGTAGTGATATAGATATCGTCCTTGCGGGGCCGAGATTACGATTCTTCGGTACTTCGCTTCACGCCGGAGAAAGAGACGTGAGGCGACTCGGATTTCCTCAAGAAAATACTAAAGCGCACTCTCGTCCGGAATTCGCGTACGAGAGAATCGTCCGAGAGGGATGTTTGCGATCGAAGGAACTTAAATGGCGCGCGAATGTCGGTGCGAGAAGAGCTCGAAAAGAGTTCACACAGAGAGTGCTTTTACGAGGCGAAGAGTAAAAAAAATATATAGAGCGTGGAATACGCGATAATAATAATAAAAGGGAAGAAATTCGAAAATTATACACTTGCACGGGGAGGTTTAGAAATTATTCTCGAAGATGAAAATGAGCTTATATACGTGCAGCGTTTGCTGTTATCTAAATAAAATTATATTGATCGTTATCTAGATGAAACTTTGGCATCTTATCTTTATATAGATAATAAAAATATGTATTATGTATATCTGCGTCTTAGATGAAAAAGAGTATTATCTAGAATAATGTTCAGATAATTTGATTCAAAGTCATAGCGCATGCGTAAAAAGTACTGAGAAATAAATAAAAATCTGACTATTTTTTATAACTGTGTTTACATAAGCAGTCTTAAAAAAATGATTATCTAGATGAATCGCGCCATTTAATTATATCTTTTTAAAACAAAATCATCTTCATCTTATATCTAAGACGAACTTGCATATTTTTATCTCATCTTTATCTAATTTAAAAATCATCTAAGCACAACACTGCTTATATGTAAAAGATGTAGGAATTTATATTATAGTTTAACTTGTGGCTTGAGCAACCGTGCTAAAAATTTATGCGGACTCGTTCGTGCGTCCTAATTCGAATATAGTACACCTGCATCGTGCAACAATAAATTGCAGCTATATGCAGGGATATGCAGTTCATTCTCGCGTATAAAACTCAGAGAAATCTCATTGCTCTAATATAATATACATAATATAACTTTTAACGAGAATAATCGAATGCGCAACGAGTTTGGAATTATCCCGGAGTTGGCGTAGCTATTGATTTGCTATCAACGGTTTGAGAATTACCCTTCAATCCTTTCACGAAACATAATAGATTAACGCATATATATATGTGTCGACGAGACGAGACGAGACGAGACGCGGGAACTTTATTATATTCCAAGGGAGACGAGAAAATTGAAATTTTCAAATTAACCGACTCACCGATGCACGTCCCGTAGGAAGTCTGCTCGTAACCCGGCAGGCAAGTGATGGACAGCCTGTCCAAAATTGGCCGATTCTTCAGCTCCATGGGTCGGGCGCATCGATAGGAACCCGGGGTGTTGATGCAGCCGTAGCGACAGAGCTCCGTCTGAAGATCCGGCACCGAGCACTCGTCCACATCTATGCGGGAGAGTGATTGTCATTTGTCAAAAAACGCTCCCGAAATGCTTTTTCGTTACAGAGAAAACGTCGCGCCGAGTGACATCCCGCGAATATTCGCGTCCCAACTAAGTGCATCGCACGCGCGAAGCGTCGATACGTCACCGAGATTTATTTTCGTTTCGATCGCGTCATATAAATCGCGTAGGTCATCTCGCGTCGGGCAAGAGAGATATGTACCGTGGAAATTTAATTATATTCTAGATAGACCAAAAAATCAATATCCTTGAGAGATTGATATTTCGCCAGAAACGAGTTAAATTAATAAGCGAAATTTTCTTATACGTAATGAAATCGCGTCGAATCGAGTTACTCACCCTGACAGGTCTTCCAGTCGTCCTCGAGGATGAAGCCGTCGGGGCAGAGGCAGAACACCCGACCCATCGTCGACAAACACGTGTGGGAGCACCCGGCATTGTTGACGCTGCACGGACCCGGGTGCCTGTCACGTTCGCACGTGTGATTGTCGCCGGCCAGGGATGCGTTCGGCAGACCCTCGCAGGAACATTTGTACCCTCCCATGAGATTTCGGCAGGTGTCCTGGCAAGGACCGCGGCCGTTGTTCAGTAAACATTCGTCGATGTCTGATGGCAATAAATAACGCGCGCAAAATATTAGGTGTACTCAGTGTTGTGTGCTTAGATGATTTTTAAATCAGTTGGATAAAGATCACAGAAAAAAAGGAATCCTTGATTCAAGTATATTTTTATTCTTGAACGCTATTTGATTGATTTAAGCATAGAATGCTCTTTGTAATCACAAATTTTCATTTGCCTTAATAATAAATAAGTTTGTGTAAAGTATATTTTATCCTTAAGATATATTCTTGTTTTAAAAATCGTATATGGTAAAAACAAACTTAGTCACATTTGAACTAAGAATTATTATATTTATTTGAAAGTACCGCTTATATCCGATGCACACTTGTCACTTGTCCTTGCAATATTTATAAGTAAATTTCAGCTTCAACCAAGAATATTTTGCACTTTGTTTTAAGGATAAATTATCCTTTATCCAAAATTATTTATATTTGGTGCTATTATAAGGATAAAATATACTTGAATCAAGGCATATTTGCATTCTCTCAAGGATACTGTTTTTTCTGTGATGAGATGAAAATATTAAATTATATTTGCGGCGATTCGTCTAGGTAATTTTCTAGATAATCATTTTTAAAACCGCTTACGTAAACACAATTATGAGAAAATCTATAAATTGTAAATAGGGATATAAAAATATATTCATATTTTTGTTTTTATAAATTATCTATGAAATTATCTATATAATTTTATTTAGATAACAGCAAACACTGGATGTACTAATAAGTTTTCTCTTTCTAAACGTATATCAAAGTAATTCATAGGCTTGTTCTCTGTTCCTGCGCTGGCTGAACAAAATATACTTGACAATGATGTTTCATAAGTGCTACACCGTCTGGCGAAAAAGACAACATAATTTCAAATTCAATAGATTGGAAATGGATTGAGATAAGCAATTTATTCGGCACTGCATTCGCTATGAATTTCATGAAGGAATTGTGAACCAATTTGTTCTATTCTTGGAAATAATGTTGTGTCTCGCAAGAGAAAAACAATAATTTGCAAGCATTGCTCGATGAAAATTCTCGTCGAAGTAAACTTGCAAAAGAATCAGGAATTATCCAACGAACCATTTCTACAAAGTCTAAATTTCGAAAAAAAAAGAAACGACCAAATTCATTCGTACATCCAATCGCGCAGATATATTTAAATAATAAAACTTTGACGCGCATTTAGTGGAAAGGATGAATTAAATTAAAAGGTGTATAAAGAGCGAAATGTGAAAATATACCGCGCGAAAATTAAAGTGCGAAAATTACGAACTGATGGTCGGAATATAAAAATGTGTATATAAATTTGGCGTAAATCGCGGGAGAAATTTCCGGGGAAAAAAATCCATTAATAATAATAACTCGGCGCTATACGTATATACATATATATATATATATATATATATATATATATATAGCGATGCATCATCGCTCACCGACGCATTTGTTGCCGTCGACCAATCTGAATCCCTCGTAGCAGGAACAGACGGGACGGCCGTTAATTTCGTTGCAATCCTGCTCGCAGGATGCCTCGGCGCATACCCGGTCCGGGTTTTGCTTGATCTCGCACTTTGGCACCTGTCCGAGCCACTGACGGCTCCTGCAGACTAATCGGCTCGAGGAGGATGCCATACGGTAGCCGGGTACACACTCGTAATCGGCTTCCAAATACTCGTGCCCCGGGGTCGAGGACCTTTGTAATTACGACGAAAACGAGCGGAATTAAGAGAGTTATTTTTATGCGATAAATCCTATTTTATGCAAATTTCGCGTTACGCGACGACGAGATGAACGCATTTTTATTGCGATTCTCGCGAGTTTTGCAAAAAGGAAAGAGAAATTGCCCCGGCGCAATTTTCAAATGAATCTCGCTTTGATTAAATTCCTCCGCCGATCATTATTACAATCTCAATAATTAAATAAAATGTATTTAACCTCGCGGATGTTCCGATTGAAAAAAAAAAAAAAAAAAACAAAGTACAAAGTATTCGATTCGAAAGCGCTCGTGGTATTCAATTATTGAAATCCAAATGTAGAACACGTGCCGTATATATAAAACTCGGTGATGCCAAGATTATCCCGCGCATTGAATTACGGATGACAGAAGATAAGGGGATAGAACGAGAGAGAGAGAGAGAAGCACTTACTTTACATATTTGATCAGAGCGTGGCGAGATAGAGGCGCCGGCAGAAACGTCCCGTTTATGCAAGATAAGTCACCGCTCGTGCTGTCGTCTCCCTCCTGCGTCGTGACATCGGTGCCTGTTTCTTCGTCGTCGCTCTCGTCCGAATTAATTATCGGCTTTCTCGGCGGATGAGAGCCGGAAGTGCGAGGAGGGACCGACGGAAGAAGAGATCGTCGGTCGTAACTCGGCCTCAGCTTCATGTACGCGTTATAGTCCTTCAGGGTCCTCTCGAGCACCTCGTTCTCCAAATCCAGGATCGGCAGGTCCTCCTTGGTCCTCGAGTAGCCCAGCATCCTCTCAGCGTCGTAACGCGAGTTCCCGAAATCAATTTTGCCGCTCGACGGAGCGGCGACCGGCTCCTCGTCGTCCTGGCTCGACGACTCCGTTTCTTCTCGATTTTCTCGTCCGCTCGATTTCTTCGGAGAGCCATCGAAGATCCCGTCGTCCTTCGACGCGAACTTGGAAATCTCCATCTCGAGCTGTTTGGAGAACTCTCTCTCCACCGTGTCGGCCACCATGTAAGCGCCTCGACGAGGAGGCGTCGTCCTTGTTAGCCTCTTGGTAGCCGTCTCGAGCGTCGAGTGACGTCGGAGACTCGACGACGTCGTCGCGTCTTCGTTGACAGCCTCCGTCGACCAGGTGACGTTCGATGATTTCCCGAAACTCGAAGAGTCGTACGTTCTTCTCTCGTTGTTCAGTCTCCTGCCTCCTCTATTACGTCCCTTTCTGTCCTTCTTTTTCCGTCTTCGTCGTTCCGCACGGGACTTTCGCGCTTCCCGACTCCTCGGCCTTGACTTTGCGAAAGGGTCGTTCCTCCTTCGCGATTGATCCGATATCTCGTTCTCGCGGCTGTCCTCGGTAATGTCCTCGGGAACGCGATCCTCGACATCGGAAGCTTTACTTCTGCGACGTTTCTTGCGCGTGCGGTTTCCAAAGTTGCCCTCTTGTTGCTTACTCAAGCTTGCTGAAGGGAATTACAAGAATGTATTGTCTACTTAAAACGATCGATTCGAGTACGCGCGTATGACGATAGGATGATCGTAATCGATCCGGCGAATTTTTTCACAGAAAAAAAGTATCAGTGCAAATATGCCTTGATTCAAGTATATTTTTTATAATAATTTTGTATAAAGGATAATTTATCCTTAAAACAAAGTGCAAAATATTCTTGGTTGAAGCTAAAATTTACTTATAAATATTGCAAGGACAAGTGACAAGTGTGCATCGAATATAAGCGGTACTTTCAAATATATATAATAATTCTTAGTTCAAATGTGACTAAGTTTGTTTTTACCATATGCGATTTTTAAAACAAGAATATATCTTAAGGATAAAATATACTTTACACAAACTCATTTATTATTAAGGCAAATGAAAATTTGTGATTACAAAGAGCATTCTATGCTTAAATTAATCAAATAGCGTTTAAGAATAAAAATATACTTGAATCAAGGATTCCTTTTTTTCTGTGTTATCCTTTTGATTTTAAAATTAGCTAGATAAAGATGAGATGAAAATATGGAAATTCATATCAGATTTTGTTTTAAATATAGCTGGATAAAATTATATGGCGATTCATCCAGTTAATTTCTAGATAATATTATAATTTTTAAAACCGCTTGTGTAAACACAGTTATAAAAAAATATAAATTTGAAGTTTTTATATTACTAGCTTAAATTCTACTAATTAAGTATTTTCTAGACAATACTTTTTTTCATCTAAAACGCAGATATAGATAACCCATATTTTTATGAACTATATACAGGGTGTCCGGTAACTAACGGACCAACGATCACAAATGGATTCTTTGGTCAATTTGGGAACAATTTTTCCTCAGCGAAAATGTCGAAAAAGGCCATCATTTTTTACAACTTTCCAATATTTGTCATTATGTATCTTTATAACTAAGCCTCAAATTAAAATTTTATTATAGTAAACTCTACCTGAAATTAACTGAAGAATGTAATTATGTTGGACTTTTAACTCCAAAACGTTTAGTTTCCAAAAAAACCCATTTTTTTCAATCGCTTATAACTCGAAAATTATTGACTCTTCTCAACATTTTTGCTAAGGAAAAATCGTCTCCAAATTGGCCAGAGAATCCGCCCTTAATCATTGATCCGTTAGTTACCGGACACCCTGTATAAATACAAGACAAGACGACGCCAAAAAATTTCATCTAGATAATCATCTCTACAATTTTCTTTATATATATAACAGCAAACACTGAACGTGGGAAATATGCGTATAAGAGAATTCATAAGAGTAACGCGCATATTTGCGTAAGGAGGAAAAATTTGCGGAATAACACCGGAAGACACTCCGGTTTAGAGAAATCATATCTCGCTCGAAATATATTTTCGTTTAGTCCCCGACTCTTCTTCCGCTCTTCCGTAATGCGTTTTTCATTATTAGGAAGACGCGATTATTACTCACTGACATTTACGTTTCGCCGAAGAAGCGGAATTTTCGCACCATTTTCCGGCCAAAGGAGATGTTTGTTGTCTTCATCGCCGCGGGTCCTCGCTCTCGTTTCCATCTCCATCTCTCCCGGCTCCTTGATAACACCTCGCGACGAGAGCATCCTTCTGTGTTTCTCGAGTATCTCCATTCCCTCGGAAGAGGCGTCCCGGCTAATAGATAACAATAGCTCTGAGCACCTTTGTTCTCGCAGGGAACAAGAGATCTAAAGAAGATATTGCTAAATAGATCCACTAAATAAATCATTCGAGAGTACATGCAAAGAGAATTGTGTTCGCGCGATCATTTCAAATTGCTCTCTTGAAACAAATATTTTTTTAGGCTCAATTATTTGTTTTATATATTTTTATAAAAATGTCTTAATGTACACATTAAGGATTCTAGCCGATCGTGTTACAAAAATGCCATTTCGAAATAAAAAGATATTTCGATGAAACAGTATTTCAGATTCAAGGTTTCAGCACATTCTTAAAATACCTCGAAAATCATTATTTTCTCTTTATAATCAATCAGTTGTAACATGACTGTAGTGCGCAAATCATTTCGTATAACGAATTCTGATATCACGATCATTTTACGCGGTTGTTGATTGACTGTCAAGAGGAAAAAATAATTTTCGGAATATTTTTAAAGTGTACTAAAACCATCTAAAATTGTGTTTCATCAAAATATCTTTTTGTCTAAAAACGCAAAAATGTTCAACGTGTCTTTTCTTGCTTCTGACGTCACAATCTAACATGGAGAAATCTGAACGACTTTAGCCTAATATTAATATAATTTAGCAATCGAAGGGCGATATAAGTATAATAGGTTGCAAAGTGTATATATATAAATGAATTTCATTGAGTTCTCTTCTTCGCGAACATTACGTGATTATTATTGATCAGATCAGATCCTAGGTGCACGTTACTTTGATCCCATAACCATTACACGAAACCTTTGATCCTATAATTACAACAGGGCTATAATTACAGTGTAATTCTATTAAAGATATTCCCTGACATCTCCGTATCTATTCGATCGGACGCGAGGTTACCTGTGACAAAGCATGTGTCATCGAACTGAGAGGAAAAGAGAGAGAGATTCGATCCGGTTGGTTTTTCGCAAAGAATCTCGTTTCTCGCGTTACTCGCGCGCGAACTGGCTCTTCTTCATCGTGTTACGTGTTCGGAAGGAGAGAGATCCTGTGAGCATGTGCGTCCTTAGGAGAGAGCATTTGTCCTCTCTTGGAATCAATACGAAAATTAAGAATTTATTTGCATATTTATAATTTTAAAAAATATAAAGAACAAAACAATTTTTTAAATTAAGAAAGAACTCTCCAAATTTCTTGGATCTCACTCTTTTGGGGTGAAATTCCACTCTTTTGGAATGAGATTCTACTGTTTTGAGACGAGATTCTACTCCAAGAAATTTAGAGAGAACAATAAATAAAAAACAAATCAAATCAATTATGCTCCCTCCTGGAAAAAGATTCCGTGAACGCCCCCATTTGTCCCCTCTTGGAATCAATACGAAAATTAAGAATTTACTTGCATATTTATAATTTTAAAAAATATAAAGAACAAAACAATTTTTTAAATTAAGAAAGAACTCTCCAAATTTTTTGGATCTCACTCTTTTGGGGTGAAATTCCACTCTTTTGGAATAAAATTCTACTGTTTTGAGGCGAGATTCCACTTCAAGAAATTTAAAGAGAACAATAAATGAAAAACAAATCAAATCAATTATGCTCCCTCCTGGAAAAAGATTCCGTGGACGCCCATGCTAGCTATAGAGGTATATTTCACTCGCTCGGGAAGAGACCTCAGGGGCCGATATATCGAAATATACTTTACCTATACTGCCGATGGGTTTCCAGAGCGTGTTCCGGCTCGTCCCCGGAAAGATCCGATCTCCTCCTGTCCCCGAATGTACCGCGTGTCCCGGCATTTTGGCAGAGTCCTGTAAACGAGCGGATTCGACCTTAAGCCGATTGGGTTCTCGCGGCGAGCCGAGCGATACGGGCGAGGAATATAGGGGTGAGAAGAACTCTTCCCGTAACTGCATCTCCGCGGGCGTTTGCAGGCAGCGAGGCGAAAATGCGGAAGTTCCATTGTGAAGTTTGCCGGAGTCGCGCACTTGGCCACGAGTGGGTCGGGAAACTTGGACTGTTACCTACTACAATGAAACTCCGCCGCACGGAACCGCGGAAGTCATCGGTCCCGGACTGTCATTTCGCTTCGCCAGACGAGACGCGAAGTCGCCGATATGGAAATTTCTTTTAACGCGCGAAGAGAGGAACGAAAGAAAGAAACCGGAAGAGGACGATCGCTCGACGACAGGAGAGAGGGATTTAATTTTTCGGGGAAGTGTTCTTTCGACGACTTCTTAAGAGAACCCTAAAACGCTGCTTTATCGATCGAATATCATTTTTGCGCACCTCTTTGAATGGCATAATAAATGCTTTTCCATGGAAAAATATTTTTTTGAATTCAAAAATTAAAAGACTTTGTTAATTACCGTTTTTAATGTTTAATATTACAATTCAATTTATAATTAAAATATTTGTATTGCGCTGAAGAAGGCTTGAAATGTCAGCCGAAACGTTCGCATAAATGTTTATTTCTTATGTATTTATTTTTTCTCGTTTTAAATGAATTTTATTAATACCATCTGACAACTGCATTTTGTTTAATAGCTCTTATAGCCCTTCTTTGTTTACAATTATTAAGTTTAACAGAGCTAATTACTATTTTTATTAAAAAATTAAAATCTTCTTTTTATTCCTAACATAAAATCGGTAGTTGGCTAAAATAATCGGTAATAAAATGATGTTTTATCGATCGACCAAGACGGCGTTTAGGATCCCCTGTAAATTTTTCGAGATTTTACCATGTCCTAGAATGCGACGAGCGTCCCTTTGTACGTTTATACGAAGAAACTTCCAACGAGTGAAGGAATGCGCTTTCTTATTGGAATACAAATTCTTTTTTTTTTTTTTTCTCAATAGACTCGCGATTTTTTTCTTCCACTATCCTCTCTCGCGGCAAATGAATCTCATTAACGAAGAAATGCCCGGAAAAGTTTTGTGGATTATACTCGAAACTTTCGCGGAGGATCTCAATTCGAAGAAGAAGCTAGACCCGGGCACATTTTGCCCATCGTGAGAAGCATCTTCGATTAATCTCTAAGCGATATCAAGTGGCAATTGATATATAATCCGGCGATAATCGATTTTCCTCATTGCCACTTTATGCGAAACTGCAAGAAATAGGAGACTGCGACAAGTACTCGCTCAAGAAACCAAAGATATTTGAAGAAAAAAAAGATTGTATCTCAGAGAACGATTTGATATTCCGTGAACATTTCTTTCGATATATATTTAAATATATTTATACATATTCTAATTTACTTTTTGAAAAGCTTTCCCTCTATTATTATAATAATTTATGCACTAATTCTTGCAATTTAAATGCCCTTTTCCCCTTCTCTCATTTAATTTCAATATTTAATTATGCAATAATAACTCATTATATTGTAGTGCCATTTAATGTAAAGTACGCACAATGTACATTTAAATAGCGAAAACAATTAAACGACAAAGTTTGTTATTCTTCTATTACGAAGTATTTATGCCATAGTGTATTTCAGCGTATCTATTCTCTTTTTACGATGTGTGTTTGCAACTATTACTTTGAGAAACCGTATTTGTAGATCGATTGTTTCTTCCGTACAACGGTTTGCCGGAAATATATAAAAGAACAGAATGTGTGCAACAAGACACAAAGGGAGGGAGAAAGAGAGAGAGAGAGAGAAAAGAGAACTGGCAGAAGCAATTAAGCTTCGCCGTAGGCAGTGGAGAGTAATTCGTTCGTTTCTCTATCGTAATAGTTCCGGCCAAGTAGAGAGAGAAAGAGAGAGAGAGAGAGAGATGGGAAAATCCTGTCGCAAAAGTTTAATTAAATTCAATCAACGGTAAACGATGTTCGTATAATATTCAATTGACGATAAACCGTCAATTCGCTCTACGTTTCGACTTGATCCTCTCGAGCGATTAACACGAGCGAAGAGACGCGAAAAGTCGATCCATCCACGAGGATCCACTTCACCCTTATCTAACGCCTTTGACAGAAAAGCGGAGCGTCTCGATCTTTCGCAGTCTCCAAATCGCACGAGCGATCGAGAGATAACGCTTGAATATTTCATCTCTATTTTCGCGCCACCGCGGAACAAAACTAGCACGTTGATGCATGACGTGTCATTTATACGCTCGCGCACTTTTGAATAAATGAGGATATTTCGGAGGACGTGTCGTAGTCGCACGTGCGCGCCCCGGTAATTTTTCATTTGCCGCTTCCCGCGACATTTCGCGTCTGTGTAATATTCACGGATCATCACCTTTAAATTTGCATCTAGCCGAAACATCAACATCAGCCGAGAGCCCAAGTTATGGGCGCCCGTAGGATTTTTTCAGGGGGATGCATGATTAACATTTTTTTTTTGTTTCTTACTTTTTGTTCTTTCTTTTTAAATTTCAGTTTTATTTTTTTTTTATATATCGTGAATATGCAAATAAATTTCAGTGTTTGTTCAAAAGTACAGCAAATGCTTAATTTTTTTATCGCGATTCCGGCCCCTGTCGATTTTTCCTGGGGATTGCATGATTAACAATTCTTTTTATGTTTCTTACTTTTTGTTCTTTCTTTTTAAATTTCAGTTTTATTTTTTTATATATTGAATATGCAAATAAATTTCAGTGTTTATTCAAAAGTATAGCAAATGTTTAATTTTTTTATCGCGATTCCGGCCCCTGTAGATTTTTCCAGAGGATTGCGTGATTAAAATTTTTTGTTTTTTTATTATTTTCTGTTCTTTATTCTCTTCAAATTTAATTATGCAAATAAATTTCAGTGTTTCTTCAAAACTAGAGCAAACGCTTAATTTTTTTACCGATTCCAAGAGGGACTGCCCCCTCTATGGATTTTTCTCCAAGAGGGTGCATGATTAACATTTTTTTGTTCTTTCTTTTCAAATATAATTATGCAAATAAATTCCAGTGTTTATTCAAAATAAAAGCTTAATTATTTTGACGGATTCCAAGGGGGACGACTGCGTCTCCTCTGCGGCCGAAGTCAGTGTAGCGTTTTCGGGGATGCTAATGATATTTTTTTCACACGGAAAAATGTATCTCCTATATATCTCCGACGTATTTTTCTCAGCGAGTGATTCGATAATCGCTGAACGAGAAGGGACACGAGACTAGACTAGACGAGACGATAAGGCGGTCTAATTTCAGATTCAGGACGGATAATCGACGCGCCCGGAATAATTCCGGGATCAATGATCGCTTTAGGGGATCGCTTCTCCGGAATTTGCCGCGACACCTGGCGAACGCCACTTATCGTTCACCTGCGAGCACGATAAGCCCCTGAACGTCACGAGGGAATTTCCCCATCAACTTGTATTGCGCTAATGCACGGAACCTCCTTCGTCGGGGTTGATCCCTTGTCAATTTTCGCTCATGACACACGACGCTTGGGAGACGAGATTACCTCCGGTACAACGTTGCATCGCCAATCGAACGAGATGAATTTCCGGCAGCGCAGACCCGACTATAGAAAGGACTTTACCCTCTCTCGCGTGTAGGTAAAAGGATAAATATTCCTCTCTGAAGAATATATTCCTCCGACCGGTGGAGGTTGAAGCGATCGATGAAGAGAGAACGGCCGGCGCTTCCTATAATTATTCCACATTAACGCGCTAAGCTTTTTCCTTCCCTTTTCACGGGAATAATTCATCGAACGATATTTGACGACTGCCTTATACGAGAGAAAGAGTAAAACCGATTACCGGGGAGAGATTATATTTATATCGCGGAGGCCCGTGAATTATAGATATTTCGCGTTCGCGTTCATCAAATTTCGAGTCGAAGAGAATGGCTGAGAATTAGGAATTTTTCCGCTTGTTAATTAGATATGCGCTAAAAAATGTATAGCCGAAAAATCGAACAAATTTTTGTCAAGATATCGGGGACTTATTTCAATCTCAGATTTCGTTATACTTTTTCCTTGAAATTATTAATGAGATGCGTTAAAATACCTAAAAAGTACATTAGCAACATGCATGTTTCATCCCGTAAATCTTGTGCCATTTTATTAATCTTGTTTCGCTTATTATAATTAGATGCGCTAAAAAATGTATAGCCGAAAAATCGAACAAATTTTTGTCAAGATATCGGGGACTTATTTTAATCTCAGATTTCGTTATACTTTTTCCTTGAAATTATTAATGAGATGCATTAAAATACCTAAAAAGTACATTAGCAACATGCATGTTTCATCCCGTAAATCTTGTGCCATTTTATTAATCCTGTTTCGCTTATTATAATTAGATGCGCTAAAAAATGTATAGTCGAAAGATCGAACAAATTTTTGTCAAGATATCGGGGACTTATTTTAATCTCAGATTTCGTTATACTTTTTCCTTGAAATTATTAATGAGATGCGTTAAAATACCTAAAAAGTACATTAGCAACATGCATGTTTCATCCCGTAAATCTTGTGCCATTTTATTAATCCTGTTTCGCTTATTATAATTAGATGCGCTAAAAAATGTATAGTCGAAAGATCGAACAAATTTTTGTCAAGATATCGGGGACTTATTTTAATCTCAGATTTCGTTATACTTTTTCCTTGAAATTATTAATGAGATGCGTTAAAATACCTAAAAAGTACATTAGCAACATGCATGTTTCATCCCGTAAATCTTGTGCCATTTTATTAATCCTGTTTCGCTTATTATAATTAGATGCGCTAAAAAATGTATAGCCGAAAAATCGAACAAATTTTTGTCAAGATATCGGGGACTTTTTTCAATTTTAGGTTTCGTCATACTTTTCCCCTGAAATTATTAATGAGATACGTTAAAATACCTAAAAAGTACATTAGCAACATGCATATGTTTTATTCCGTAAATTTTGTGCCATTTTTTAAATCCTGTTTTAAATCCTTTCGCTTATTAATTAGATGCGTTAAAAAATGTATAGCCGAAAGATCGAATAAATTTTTGTCAAGATATCGAGGACTTTTTTCATTCTCAGATTTCGTCATACTTTCCCCCTGAAATTATTAATGAGATGCGTTAAAATACCTAAAAAGTACATTAGCAACATGCATATGTTTTATTCCGTAAATTTTGTGCCATTTTTTAAATCCTGTTTTAAATCCTTTCGCTTATTAATTACATGCGTTAAAAAATGTATAGCCGAAAGATCGAACAAATTTTTGTCAAGATATCGGGGACTTTTTTCATTCTCAGATTTCGTCATACTTTCCCCCTGAAATTATTAATGAGATGCGTTAAAATACTTAAAAAATACATTAGCAACATGCATATGTTTTATTCCGTAAATTTTGTGCCATTTTTTAAATCCTGCTTTAAATCCTTTCGCTTATTAATTAGATGCGTTAAAAAATGTATAGCCGAAAGATCGAACAAATTTTTGTCAAGATATCGGGGACTTTTTTCATTCTCAGATTTCGTCATACTTTCCCCCTGAAATTATTAATGAGATGCGTTAAAATACTTAAAAAATACATTAGCAACATGCATATGTTTTATTCCGTAAATTTTGTGCCATTTTTTAAATCCTGCTTTAAATCCTTTCGCTTATTAATTAGATGCGTTAAAAAATGTATAGCCGAAAGATCGAATAAATTTTTGTCAAGATATCGAGGACTTTTTTCATTCTCAGATTTCGTCATACTTTCCCCCTGAAATTATTAATGAGATGCGTTAAAATACCTAAAAAGTACATTAGCAACATGCATATGTTTTATTCCGTAAATTTTGTGCCATTTTTTAAATCCTGCTTTAAATCCTTTCGCTTATTAATTAGATGCGTTAAAAAATGTATAGCTGAAAAATCGAATAAATTTTTGTCAAGATATCGAAGACTTTTTTCATTCTCAGATTTCGTCATACTTTCCCCCTGAAATTATTAATGAGATGCGTTAAAATACCTAAAAAGTACATTAGCAACATGCATATGTTTTATTCCGTAAATTTTGTGCCATTTTTTAAATCCTGCTTTAAATCCTTTCGCTTATTAATTAGATGCGTTAAAAAATGTATAGCTGAAAAATCGAATAAATTTTTGTCAAGATATCGAAGACTTTTTTCATTCTCAGATTTCGTCATACTTTCCCCCTGAAATTATTAATGAGATGCGTTAAAATACCTAAAAAGTACATTAGCAACATGCATGTTTCATCCCGTAAATCTTGTGCCATTTTGTTAATCCTGTTTCGCGCGGAGAATATGCAACGACGTAATTACATGCGAATATACCAACCGCGCCAACAAGCGCATAAATCGTAAACGAGTTAAGAAGTTAGATTACCCGGCATTCATTGTTTTTGTTTTTTTTTTTTGTTTTTTTTTTCGTTGTTGAACGAAACACACATATACACGTACACACCGAGGGAAAGTTCGTTTAATGTTAATTCGTAAATCTGCTAATACGCGTCCAGCGGCAAAACTAATTACATCAAGCTATAGAGAAAGACGTCGTAGACGATGGCGAGGGTGAACTGGCATTTCATTGTGATTGCACGGTCCACAATGCACCGTGAAAATTAACAGACCGCGCTTCAAGTCGTTCGCCGTAGCGAGAAAGCCGAGGTTGAAACGAAGTTTCAGTCGAGGTTTCTCTTTCTCCCTCTTCTGCGACCGGGGAATTTTCTCCCGAAGATGTAGCGGACTATTTTTCACTTTTAAGATATGAGCCATCGAGCGGAAGGAATGGTATGGGACATATTTTTTCACGTTTCAGAGAATAAAAGTATGAGAAAGAGAGAGAGATTTTTTAATGTAAATAACTACCGCGCTTTGTTCCCTTGTCATTCTTTTGTATTATAAAAAGGATAAAAGAATCCTCCAGAGAGAGAGAGAGAGAGAGAGAGATAGAGAGAAGAAGAACATGTGCGTTTTGCAAATAGGCTCATTTCCTCCGTTCTTAAAAATAACGCATGACTTATTTCATTATCATCTGCTACTACTGTTTTGCTCAGCTGCTCGTATAATAGATAAGCTCGGTTAAAAAAATAATTCTCAGACTTTCGAGGCACAGATTAAAGAGGGATTAGAGTCAAAATCTCGGTCGACTAATTTCAAGAGCGAATTAAGTACGATGTGCGTTTGAAAATCGCGAGACTAAAAAATTTGCATATTACGGTATCCTAAATGCACTGTTTATTCTCGTATAATCTCATATATTTTCTTTATAAATATATATGTCTCGACTTTCAAGCCCTAGAGATCGAGCAAAGTTTTTTAATTCATTTTTCAGACGCGCCATATAAATTAAAACGCAGATGCAGGCTGACATGCTGCTCCGAGATTGAATCAAATTTTGTCCGCTTCAGGAAGAGAAATTGATTATTATTTAAGAAGCTAGAGACAAGTCACGTAATCAATTATTACTCTTATTAGTTATATTAATTATTCTTTAATCTTTGCTTTTAAATTTTCAGATGGAATAACTTAATTAATATGTAACTTTTGTGTGTATAATAATTAATTAAACTATTAATGTAAAATAATAAATATTAAATTGTTATCGCACACACAAATTATTTATTATTATAATATCGCGTAATTTAATTTCATTAATAATTATTCACAATGTATACATACACAAATAAGAAAATTTTATCTAATCAACAAATATATCAAATGCAAAAAGGTTAACTATATGTTCAATGATTATAGAATAAAGCTTATTACACGCCTTTAAAAAATAAAAATTGACGGTAAAAAAAAGTGACACATTCTCAAATTTATCCAAAAAATTATTTTTCCATTAAAGACCGAACCAAAAAGGTTTAATTATTAATGATCATATTCACAAAAAACTTTAATTAATGAATAAAGATGTCAAATGTAAAAAGATTAATTGTACGTTCAATGATGATATAAGTAATACCTTAGTAAATTACACACTTAAAAATTAGAATTCCTTCAAAAAATTATTTCTCCATCAAAGACCGAAGCAAAAAATTTAATTATCAATTACTTATCAATGATCAACAAAGACGTTAAATGCAAAAAGCTTAATTATACATTCCACGATAAGTAATACTTTAGCGTAAATTATACACACTTTTAAAAAATTGGAAAAATTTTCAAATTTCTCCAAAAAATTATTTCTTCATCAAGAGGACCGAACCAAAAAATTTAATTATTAATTATTATCAATGATCAACGAAAACTTTACTTAATCAACAAAAACATCAAATGCAAATGATTATATAAGTAATATTTTAGTAAATCACACTTTTACAAAATTAAAAAAACATTTGCAAATTTCCCCAAACAATTATTTCTCAAGTCATCAAAGACCGAATAATAAAAAAAGGATGCACTTACCGAGCGGCGGAACAATTGCCACGAGAAATAAAAAGACACAAGCGAGCCTCGCGTGGCTCGTACGTTTCTCGACGCACATAACGCGACGTCGAAACCGTGCTCGTACCGTGTCGCGCGACCGCTCGCGTGGCTCTGAGTGTTCCTCGTTAGAGATTTTGCGTTTCAAACGTTCTCTCCTTCTCTCTCGCTCTCCCCGATCCTGATCTCGCGCTTTGCGCGTCGCGGGACCGGCTGGCGGCGGCGCACAGCCCGGATGCTGCGAGCGGTCCAGCGGGACGCCTGCACGACGGCAATTCGTTCTGCGACCTCGCGTGTCGCCCGCGGTCGGCGCCACTCATCTGACCTCGGGGAAGATTGTCGGGACTCGCGCGAAAATCAGCGTTTTATCATAAGAGCATGGTGTCCGCAGAGGGGACCTAGTAATCAGTAAAAAAATTAAGCATTTACTCTCCTTGTGAATAAACACTGGAATTTATCTGCAATTTGATTTAATATCCCTATAATAGCATAGCACAGCACAACATATCCGAAAGGTATTCAAAGGATATCTTCAGGATGTTCTCTGAACGTCTTCGGGATACGTGTGCTGTTAGGGATAGAAATGTTAAAATAAAATATCCTCTCTGGAAAAAATTCCTGCGGACGCCCATACATAAGAGAATGTTACTGTTCCACTGGAAAAAAAGTTTGTTGGAGTAACAAAAATTCTGTTCGAAAATAGAAACAGAATTACTGGTTGAATCTATTAGAATTCCCAGAACAACAAATCAATTGTTTGTGCAAACAAGATATACTTGTTGCATTAAAAAGCATTCTGATAGATTCAACCAGTAATTCTGTTTCGTCTATTTTCGAACAGAATTTTTGTTAATACAACAAATTTTTTTCAGTGTACAGGTTCCTTCCTTTCTATTATTTCGAAATAAATGAAACAGCGAACTGCAAGCATGTCAGTTTTGCTACTTGGGAAAGCTCCTTGGCAATTCGCCATGCATGTTAGATTGTGACGTCAGCGGCAAAATAATAAACCTTAAAAATTTTTGCGTGCCATTTTTATATAAAATGATATATTTTGATAAAACACAGCTTTAGATGGGTTTAGCACACTTTCAAAATATTCCGACAATTATTTTTTTTTCTTTGACAGCCTCAATAATCATAAAATAATTGAAACATCCGACTTTGTCATGCGGAATGATTGCGCATGTGCAAGAATATATACACGGATCAGACCTCATATCACAGTTATTTTACAACTGTTAATTTATTATAAAGGGAAAAGGAAATTTTTCATAATATTTTAAAAGTGTATTCAAGCTAATCTAAAAAGTTGTGGTTCATGAAAATATCTTAAATTGATTATAATTGATTTAAAATGAAATTATCAATGAGTTGCAAAAATTGTGTAATTAAGATTTTAAATGTAACAAATTTTAAAGCTCTTCCCTCTTGTTTGAATTTTTTATGTCGTTCTATCTTCATTATTTTTTTAAACAACGTATTTTATCTTCTACGCAGTATTATCCATATTTTACTAAAATCTCTCTTCATTACTCAAGCTTCTAATTTCAGTGTAATTTTTTAACGCGTAGCGATATATAATTCTTATCCTCATAATTATAATTCCTATAATTACAAACTTAAAATCTCATTATTAATAATACAAGGGATCTACGCGTACCAATTCAAATATTAGGACAATTCCCCAATTGGAATTTAAAATTCGATGTAGAAACAGTACGCAAAAAATTATTCTCATAATTATAATTCCTATAATTAATAAATTTGAAATCTCATTATTAATAATACAAGAGATCTACGCGTACCAATTCAAATATTAGAACAAAACTCCCCAATTGGAATTTAAAATTCCATGTAGAAAAAGTACGCAAAATAAAAAAAAATGATCTCATCTATACATTCGTTCGCAATGAAAATGGAAAAATTAACGTAAAAAAGATTTTCGAAACTTGTGCTGATCTCCTTTCGAACGATGCGACTTGTGCACACACTCGCGGCTTTTATTACATACACGTTGCAATCCGCTCGTACAACGTCCACATGCGCCGTCGTCCTCGGCGGCTCCTGTAACTCCCTCGGATATCGATTCTCCGGTTTGCGTTCGCGCGTTCCGACGACGCAAGCTCGGGGGTTCAAGCCGTAGTAGAGGGATACCACCCTCCCGGCGAAGGTGGTTTATGCCCGGCGCATATCCCACCTCATCCCCGATCTCGCGTTCTCTCTCTCTCCCTCTTTCTCTATCCACCCCTTTCGTCCTCATGAGCAGGAGGCACGACGATCGGGCAAAATGAGCGACCAGGAGGATCTGGATTATTACATCATGTTCCCGTCGTTTCCGCCATCTCCGAAGGATCCGACTCTGACCTCGACCGGCCAGGATCAACGGGAGGAGTTCGTGTTCGTGTACGAGGAAGACAAGCGACCGGTCGTGATCTTGCTAGGATGGGCCGGCTGTCAGGACAGATACCTGGCCAAGTATAGCGCGATCTACGAGGAGAAGAGGTACTTTTTCCGATCTGTATTCTTATCCAAGTCGATCTCGCGAACGAGGACAATCTATAGACAATTAGAGCCCCAAGAGAGAAAAATCAGAAATACCGTCTCGCGCGCACATTATCCTGAAAGTATTCCAAGTATTCCAAGTATTTGCATGTACATGTACATATGACATCTCTAAAACTCGCGGAATACGATTTGCGAAAAAATGGAATGGAGTTGTGTTAAGTGAAATGATTTAACGTTCTCTTCGTGGTAAAATTGTCAAGTTGTCAGGGATCGAGCTTGCGTTTCCGGGATAAACAGTGATCGATCTTTGCATCTTCGCAGTTGCATTACGCTGCGTTACACGGCGCCGGTGGAATGTCTGTTTTGGCGCCGAGACAAGATGCCGCACCTCGGCAAGCGGCTGCTCCAGGTGATCACCGACAAGCGATTGGACGAGCACCCGATATTCTTCCACGTCTTCAGCAACGGCGGCGCGTTCCTGTATCAGCACGTCAGTCTCGCGATGCAAAAGACTAACACGTTGTTCAAGGTACAAGATACAATCACTTGCTATAACAAAAGGGTGCAAAATATATTTTCGTCATATTTCGCAAAATATATTTTCTGACAAGATCGCTGTCGATTGTCCTTGGAGGAATCTATCTCCCATGTGGAAAATTGTTAGGACAACCTTAAAAAATGTCGAGCCCTTTAAGGACTTAAACGTGGGGTCCCTATTAGGAATTTCCACATTACTGCCAGATTAGGTCCTAGTAAGATGATATCCGTTTTGAGTAGCTAATTTAATGTATGGTCTGAATAAGGAAATCAATAAGGGTCTTGATAAGGTTTGATGAAAACCCTGATTACTTAATCTTTAAGGGCCCTCGATGGAAAACCGTGACCGACCTTAAAAGGTTCTTATCGGGCTTCATTAGAACCCTAAGAAAGTTAGGAAAAATTAACAGGGGCCTTATCAAAGTCTTACACAATTTCCACATGGGCTGATACAACTGTATTATTTTCAATGATAAATAACTAATTATAATTAACCAGAAATTACAAGTCTGTATTATTTTGATGTCGCAATGTCGACATGAAAATAACGCAAAAATATCGATTAATTGGCGATATAAGGTCTCTGATTGTGGGTTTGCAGATCAGGGGAGTGATTTTCGACAGCGCACCCGGCGAGAGAAGATTAACAGCCCTTTTCAAGGCGATCAGCGCGATCATCGGTGGTCATCCTCTCACGAATCTGCCGATGTCGTTCGTCATCACGGTTTTCCTCTCCGTACTCTGGTTCTTCGAGGTAAATGTGGATATTCGTGTGACAAATGCGAATTGAAATTGCTTCTATAATTCTCACCGTTTCGCAATCATCTCAAGAGATCAGCACTCATGTCAAAAACGATACTTTTTATTACGAATACATTCGACACCCTCCATCGCAATATATCGTGCACGTTTAAATTGTCATACAAGAATGAAAAATTATATATCGTATATATGAAGAGAGATTGAAGCGTTTGAGGACTGTGTTGACGTTTTTGACAACTTATACATTTTATGATCGTCAGGTGATCGCTCAAGCATTCAGCAGAACGCCCATCCCAACAAATCCGATCGCCCTCGCCGAGGAAGCCTATTCCTGGCCTCAACTGTTCCTGTACTCCAACAGCGACACCCTGATTCCGGCGTCTGTGAGTTGATGCGTTTCATTTTTACCCCAAGAACCGCGGTAATAAATTTGCATACTTATCTTATTTTTACATTAAAATATTTCTTATTAAAATATAAGAAAAGTTGGGACATAAGGGAGGACCCAAAAATTCATTCTTTATATTCGTGTAAAGCTTTCGGTCTTATCAAACATCCTGAATGCAAGGAGAAAAAAATCCCTCGCAAAGCAGCTCGACAAATTTTTTATTACTCTGATAATAAACCTTTTGTCTCATGCATACCTGCATTCTGTCGTATTCAGGACGTCGAGAAGTTTGCCAGCCGGCGAGCCGAACGAGGCGTGAACGTGCAGCTGGTTCTGTTCACCAATTCGCCGCATGTGAAGCACTATGCGACTTACCGGGACGTCTACGTCAACACGGTGTGCAGCTTCATCCACGAATGCCTGACCTCGCCGAGTCCGTCGAGGTGCCTGTTGGACAGCGACGATCGCGATTCCCAAAGCTACGACTCGGTCCCGGGCCTCACCAAGCGCGTCGTGCTGCCCCATGAGGCCACCAAGCAGTAGAACTAGAAGAATCGAGAGACGCTATATTATTAGATAGAATATATAGTCACCCGGTCTATGTGGAGTATCGCGCTGGAGACGGCGCGGATCTCGCGGGTGCAAGGCAGAGAGGATCTCTATTCATTACAATTATTATGTATACATTTTGTAAAGGGGATGATCTACAAAGTATGTGTGGAAATGGAAGAAATCGCGTGGAATCCGTAATTGCGATTTCCCGATCTTTCAACTTCGATTTCTAATCAGTTAGGGGAATTAACTTTTTCATTAAGACTTCTGGATCCTCGCCGCGGTCATGTCAGATTGTGACGTCAGAAGCGAGAAAATACACGCTGAAAATTCTTGCGTGTCATTTTTACATAAAAGATATTTTGATGAAACACAACTTCCGGTGGTTTTAGTACACTTTTCAAATACTCCGAAAACTATTTTTTCCTTTTAATAATCAACCGTAAAATCATTGTGATAGACTGTCATGCGGAATGACTGTGCAGACCAAACGAACTGGGTCACATATTACAGTTGTTGATTGATTATAAAGAGAAAAAGATAGTTTTCGAGGTAGTTTAAAGAGTGTGTTAGAGCTATATTTGAAGTGCTGTTTCACCAAAATATCTTTTTATTTCGAAATGGCGTTTAAGAATTTTTAGCGTGCTTTTTCACCCCTATCGTTACAATTCCAACATAATCGGCGAGGAGCCAGGAACGTTACAGTTAAAAACTAAACTAAATTGACGAGAAAATTAAAAAACATGAATGTATGGTTGATTAAATGGACAAAATTAAAAAAAAAAGAGAGAAAATTGTTTCAAAATTTTTGAAAGTAATTTCTCAGCAATTTTCGAAGATTAGGAATTGCAAAATTACGCGGATAAATTCCTCGCGATTCTCATTTTATATGGTAACGAGGCGATGTCCGAGATGCTGGAAACGGTGCTACGTCTGTTGATGCATAGAGCTATTTTATACGAAAGTGGATTATTATTTTTTATTAAAAATCTATTGAAATGAAGAACGCGAATTTTTCATGAACCAAGCGAGAATGCACATATAAGCAACACACGGTGGCGTAAGTTCTTTACTGTTAATTTTATTAGTTCTGTTGTACTTCAATGTAAAAATGTAATTAAAATGTGAAGATTTTTATCTAAAACTTATTTAAATTTATATGAAAGTAATATTTTTTCATAGTTTAAATATTACGTATAATCTGATTTTCTACTTGATTGATAAAAACTTTCAAGATGCATGGTGCAGTGCCGGTTATATATAAAATATAATTTTTAAAAGATGAGAAACGAGATGCCTGTATAAATTATATGGTGCACTGTTTGCGGCATCGTGAGCCTTGTCAAAATTCTTAATGTAATTTTTTTATCACAAAAAAAAAACCGATACTGCGTCCTCTCTCCTTTGTCTCCGTTTCCGTCTCAGCTTGATTCTTCCCTCTTTCTATCTTTCGTTACTTCCGCCATCGCGTGTCCGAGCGATCGTTGCTTATTTAGAAGCTCGTAGACACGAATGTATTCGTTTTACATTTACTGCATCTCGCATAATGAATGGTCCGGATAATGAATCACGTTTGTGGGGATGGGAACGCGTATTTGTCTTCGGCTAAAATGAGAATGCATCGAAGATTTGAACGGGTTTCTGAGGGATGCGCTCGCAGAAACTCTGTGCAACGCAAAATAATGTTATCGCTTTTACTCTTTCCTACGCAAATAAGAGAGCCCGCACAAAATCGAGCTGGACTTGATTTTTAGCTTTCGCAATTTACGATCCGAGTACATGATAGCACTCAATATCGACTCGGGAAAAAAAAAATAAAGAATTCTTCTTTCGTGTCCTGAATTGTATCAGTGATAAAAACTTTCGGGAACCTCGATGCTCGAGAGTATAGTTGTATTAGAATATCTCTCGTTAAAATATACACATCTCTATACATACACAAAAATAATATAAATATATTTTGATCTGTCGATTAGAGTTATATGAATAAAGACTGATAAATACAAATATAGTCTCATTTTCCCTTTTATGTGTTGCATGTTAGCTCCTTTATATCGAATTATATATATTTCAGTGTTTTGTTTTTTTTTATTATATCAAATATCGATTTTAATATTTTTTCTGATCATATATCAAACGTCAAGTTAAAAAGGTTATCATCAATGCGCAACACAATCTCAAAACTTATGATTTTCATCCAAGCATTGGTCCTGACTTACTTAGAAGCGAAAACGCGTGTTGAGTTTCAAGAAATAATATCTTAAAATTGAGAGAGCTTATAAAGCTCATCGATTTTTCGAAACCGAATGAGAGTCAAGACTTCGAATCATCTGATTACGTATTAATTTTTTTTGTCGCGACGAATCTAAACTCTATCTGTTTCAAGGGACAAAATTGCGAAGAGTATAACAGAATCAATGCCTTAAGTATCTTTGTAGAGAAAGCAGAACAAGAAAAACAACAAGAGTCATTATCGAAAGATGTGGTCAAAGCAAAGGGCAAATTAATTGCAACAAAGTGAGTGCAAGAAAATTCTACATATTTAAAATATAAATATATTCACATAAATGCATGACGATGAATTTTTAGCAGCTTTAAAAATTTACGTCGAAGAAAAACTGAAAAAACGGCTGAATCTAAGGATCCTGCGTTCGACAACGATAAAAATAAACAATGTTTCGAAAAATATAATTGTACAGATGTTTACGTAAAGTAAAAATTATTATCTTTCCACTTCGCTAAAAGTAACACGCACATTAGTTTTTACGTTAACGTCCCTAAAATTTATGCAGAACGCGTCTTGGTAAAGTTAATCAGCAAAAATGTTCGGAATTCTCGCGAGATTTTAAAGCGCACGGCGATCAAACCACAAACAATCTGGATCCTCAAGGCAATAAATTAAATGGCAATCCTAATCGAAAATCGCACATCGAAGCTTTTAAAAATAAAATCAAAACGACACAATCTAATAAGGAAATTCTAGATGTAAAACGCGATATTGTACGTTCCTTTCGATTTATATTTAAAAATTATGATTAAAACGTATGTCTCTTAATTATTTTTTAGTTAAAAATATAATTTCAATAGTTATTATAACAAATCCTCTAAATAAAAGGTTTTCTTAATTTATCACAAAAATCAATTAATACTAAAAATATTTTTGAAACAGGTTGCGGAAAATATAACGAAGCAGGGTAAAAAATTACGTGGAAATCCTATAAAAAGAATTCCAGCAACGAGCAATTTCGTTTACGAATTTAATCCATTTGCCAATGCCGAACAATTAAATTTGTTAACGTCGCAGACTTGTTTACGGTCTACGAGTAATTTTGAACAAAAATTACCTTGTGAGAGAACAGGTGCGAAATTAATTATACATTCAATCTCACTTTGCATCAATACCGAATATTCTCATTTAAACTCTCAAATCCAACATGTTACAATTTACATAATTGATTAAAATACATTTTTTCAGAGCAAAAGTATTTTAATCTTAATTATTCAAATTGTTGATATTTTTAATAACATTATAGAAAAGTATAGAATTATTTGAATCGTTGAATCTCATTTGACACAGTTTTTGATATTCAGATTTTATTAATTCATTAATTCTCTCTATATAGATATTACGTCATTCAATTCAAATAATGTGGAAAATAGGAAATTGGTGAAACGAAAATCTGCCGTCTTGCCGAAATTAAATTCGCGCGATACTGATTTCGTAAAGGATCATTCAGATTGGAATGCCTCGAATCCTACCCAGAATGCTTGTTTGCCAATACTTGGCAAAGACAATCCGGCGAAGACATCGGGTAAACAACGCGACGACGCACGTAAATTACTTTCTACTATTTTTCTCCTACCCAATAATTCTCTTTGCTTTATTTTGATTTATTATATATCATCATAAATCTCAAAGCTATCATGTATGTTTCAGACGAGCCAACCGACATAAATCATGAAGTGGAAAAGGTAAAGTCGGCTTGGCAAGCATTACAAGCGGAAAGGAATTGGACGAAGAGTAAAGATTGCATCGGGAATGTTCATACGAAAAAAGTATACGAAATATTGGAAAAGATGACGTGCGAAATGGATAAAATTCAGAAACGCTATATGAATCCTAAGGCGAATTATTACTTGCGTAAAAGCGCGACAAATGTCCTCAAGGTAGCCAATAAGCCGAGTTTAAAGGAAGAAGCCGAAATTGTGCGTAACATCATTTTTCCCAAGGGACAAGCAACGATCGAACCGGAACTGTCTTATCTGGAAAATTTCGATACCGAAATAATCGGTAAGGATATAGCAAAGCTACGATTCGGCGATACCACGGAAAAACAGTTGGCGAAAAATATTTCATTTCCTTCAAAACGTATCCTAAAAAATCGATCTATACACACTAACGCACACGAACATAATATTGTATCAATGGGTAGAATTGCTTTGGATACCTGCGATAAAAAACAAGATACAACTACAGATACAATGGAATTGGCGTTTGAAAACGACAGCAAGACGAGGAGAAAAATTAAATCTTCTATTGAAAAGTACTTGCAAAATTATAGCGACAATATTTATAAATCGCGCAATATCGAAGAAAAAAAAGAAGAGCGTTATGAAGATATAAAATCATCAGCAAGTAATATTGCGGATATTCTTGCGAGTCACAATATTGAATCGCACGGATTATTTGAAAATTTTGAAAAATATGACTATGACTCGGATGATTCCATCAACGAAGGGGATAAAAATTTTTCTTGCTCAAATATCGCGACTAATACCACAGAAGAAGTAACATGCGTTGATACGATTCAAGACGATAAGAGAATTCGTGATAATACATTCCTTGAAAATACAGACTCATATAAAAACGATACTCGACCGACAAATGTCGATATGAAATCTATCGGTATTTCGAGATCAAACCTAGCAAATCACTCAGATAACGCCTTCATTAAAATGGGATTTAATATTTTAGAAAAAAATTTATCGAGAGACAAATTGTCGCAAATATTACAATCGGAATACTTGAAAAAGAATTTTTCTTTATAATCCATGTATGTGTATGACGTGTAATCAGATAACTCTTTCATATTTTTCTGCTTTTAAAAATATTTTTAAATTATATTTTAAATTTTGTAATTTCAATATTTCATGAATTTTGTTATGTCTTGGTTTTTTATGCCAACATAGGTGAATAAATCGTATCTCTGTCCTTTAAATAATATAAATATATAAATGTGAAAGAGTTAAATTTTTTTTATATGTACAGTCTTATGTTTTATAGAATATACATTTTATATCCTAACACTGCAAAACTAAAATTTACGCTCTTCATCAGAACATATCACAAAATGCTTTCTGCTAATTCTTAATTGATACAGTACATGTATAAATTAAAATGCATAATTATAGTTTCATAAATATGTATAAGCGTATTTTCCACATAGTTTTCAATTAATTCTTCAAACCAACTCCATTCTCTGTTCATCAGACTAACTATGGCACTATGTTAAAATCACACTTCCAAATATTATAAGATTTAATATAAATATAAATAAAGCACCTTGATATGTTTTCGTCCAATATGCCACGATCAATCCGTCGCACTTGTTGTAATCGTTCACAGTTGCAAGACTGAAAACAGTTTACAATGATCCTAATGTAAACGTGTATTTTTGCATTGTCTTCAATAAACACTTGATTATTCTTCTCGCTTTAATGATGTATAATTGTTGGCTAAGAGCATATCACAACACTGGAAGTGCCGAGCTGTGGCTTTGGTATATTATAGCCCCGGTGAAATTGATTGCTGCTGCCAGCACGAAAACAGGCATCCACCAACCATGCGAGGCAGTTACTAATTCGGCCGTCAACGGACCGCATAGAATTCCAGGTACTGTTGCCTACAAATTAAAATATATATAATACAGATAATAATCGTCTACGCGGCAATATAGATAAGCAAAAATAATACTTACAATTGTATTTGAAACTGCAAATGTAATTCCCGCATGATTCGGAGCTATATCTGCGTGATTACTTAGGTGTCCAGCAGAATTGCACGCGCAAAGGCCCATAGATATCGAGACAAAGCTGTAAAATAATTTGTAGATAATAAAAACTTTTGTAGATCATTTTTGTAACAGTATAATAATTGTTGTACATACACCACTGCTGCAAGCAAATCGTCCACAGCACAGAAAGCTAATAGGAATGCACCAGGTCCTATTAGGCCTATATTAGTCATCAATCTTCTAACGGATAAAACGGACCATCGTTTTTGTATCAAAGTGTCAGCACTGTGACCGGCAACTACGAAAAAAATATTTATTTTTAAAAAATATTTTAAGTATAAAATAAGAGGATACAATTTTATACTCACCAATACCAACGAGAGAATTGACAATGTAAGGAAGTGCTGTCAAACTGATGCTCTCCTTGTTTGCAGATAAGTTTCTTGCCAAGTACGTTGGCAGCCATTGCATTATTATATAATTACTCCAGTTCATTGCAAAGTGTGCTATATATAAAGCCCACAATGGCCAATGAGCAATAAACTCGGTCCAACGTAAACTTCTATTTTGAGCTACCTGCTTATTATAATTTAATTTTTAATTAATTATTATAAGTTAATGTATACAAATGCAGAATAATTATAAATATCACAGAAAGAAATATTAACCTTAGGAACAAATAATGGTATCTCATCTTGAGAGTTAGTTTCTTGATATAGCATCAGCCATAACAAAGTCCACAGAATACCTATCGTTCCAAACAGATAAAATCCAGTTTGCCATGCCAAGTGTGGACATATCTAAATAGAAAAAACAATATACTTTCTGAAATATAAGTCTTCTTTGTACAAAATATATATAAAAAAATATGATTAGGCTTACAACAGATGCGACCACTTGACCGACAGAACCAGCAGCTACAAGATAACCAAAAGCGCGCGATCTCTCTTCCACAGGAACATTATGTGCAAATAAGTGAAATATCACAGGTAGGCCTGTATATAAACAACATAGAATATTAAATCTTATTCTAGAAAGTATTCACGCTGTTTCTAATTAGCTTCTTCCAAACTCACCCAATCCTTCTCCGAGTCCTAAAATCACCCTGCAGATTATGAGTAACGGCACTGATTGTGCTAGCAAAGGTGTGACAACCGTACTAATGGACCACAACAAAACTGCCAACATGAGTACAGTCTTGCAGCCGAAGCGACTCGCTGTACTTGCACCGATGATCTGTTTGAAGGATAAAATGACACATGTATTTTATACAAATGCTATATTTTCAGGAGACGATGATGATACAGAGTACAGATCAATCTACCTGACTGGTAAAGTACCCGAAAGCGAACGCCGAGAGGATCCATCCCTGCCAGTACAGATTCCACTTGAACTCATCGGTCATGGGAACGATGGCGATGGGCATGATGACCCTGTCCGCGGCGTTTATGAAATTTGCGGCGGAACAGAGTGCCACGATGCGCGAGGTGCGTGGCAACATCCTGAATTTGGCCATTTCTCTCAGGTTCCTCTCGAATCTCGAAATCCGGGTTCGAAAAGATCACCACATCGCACGATTATTCCTTGGGTCGATTCTCGTAATCGGTCGCGCGATGACTCCAACCCGATTACGAGAAATGCAAAAATACAAGGAAAAAAGAGACGACCTATCCTTGACCCGAACAAATCCTAACCTTCGCGCTTGGTCGCGAAACAAAGGCCGTACTTTACGTATGTTTGATGTGTCTACAGTTGCGAAATGATCGAGATGAAATCGGAATCGCGACGACGCCGATAAACGCGTCGCGTTAATGTTAGGAATGACGATTTAAAGCCATATTGGCGCGAGCGATGCAGCGAGACACGAGTAAATTGACACAATTTGACGTGTCAACCAACACGCATGCTTGCGCGGCGCAACGTCACGTGGTCCGCGTCGCGTCATACGTCATCGCGTTTGCGCCACTTTGGGAATTTAAATTCGCCTCACCTCCGCCGAATCGTGCTTCCCTGATACCGTAAATGTAGCAAATATTTGAATTCGCAGCTTACTTCACCTCTCATCGAATCGTATTCCCTTAGTAATCCATCCGCGCCCCGGTTCTCAGAAAGCGCGCGATTCTCACGACAATTTTCATCTGTCAAATAATCGACTCTCTCCGTAAGTGCGCATTTTTTCCATGAAAACTTGTCAATAATTGGAACTTTCAATAATTAATATAATATTAACGAAGCACAAAATTGTATCTTAAAAATCGCGAAAATGTCCGTCTCTGTCATTTTCCGTCGTGCTCTCCTAATATCGAGAAGTTAGCTATTGAAAACTATTTCAGTGTCCGGCCCGCCACAACCTCTTTCGAATTATATTTTCCGGAAGGGCGCGAAATTCGAATTTTAGTTTCACCGCTTGACTCGCCTCTTGCCGAAACATATTCTCTCGATAACTTTTTACAATCTATATGACGAAGGTGTCGAAACGACGCCATATTTCTCACGCCCATTTCTCGTTCCTGCTCACTCCGATGATTATATTCTACAAGTAAATGACTGGTTGTTAGAGGTATGTGATATTATATTTATTCGCGCCAAAATATTTTTCATAATAGTTACAAGTAACGGAGATTAGAAAGTGATCGATAATTTACAGCATGCACTAAAAGTGCATTAAACGATTGTGGCAAGTCAGATTAATGATCTATTATTTAAATGTACAATTAATTATTTATTATAATAAGAAAGAGAGAGAGATAGAAGGCAATTTATACGTATATACAAGTTTAAAAATATGAAATGCACCCCCATGTTAAAAAATGAAAAAAAAATTTGTCGTTGATTCTGAAGTAAAAGCTAAACATGAAAAATATTAAAAATAAAAAATATTAAATAAATAATTTTGCAGAAACTCCCTCCCTCCCTCCCATCATCGATGTCAGGATCCGCTAGTGGTGAGATGTTGTATATAAAAATGTAAATGTCTACAAAAGGTCTCTTCTATATTAAATATTGACATTTTATATATCTTTTCTTGTCATACATAAATATTTTATGCAATATGCAAATAAGTCTTCATCAATTCAAATATTTTAGCAAAATTTCAATTTCAATGTAAAAATATTCACGTATATCGTAAGATTTATTCAGAATTCCAAAAATATTACGACATGCACATTCGAGCATATCGTAATATGTAAAAATATTTATACTGCAGTAATCAGATGATTTAGTAAAACGAAATGCGTTTCTTTTAGTATACTTTTTTATATTCTTTCTTGTTGCATTTAAGTTGAAATGAATAGAAACTTTCCATGCATAATTATAGGTAATGAGAGGAAAAAAAGGAAATGTAGAAAATATAACTAAAATTTTTTAATATATGTAATTTTTAAACAATATAATCTCATCAAGATATAAAAATAACATAATTCTGTGCACATTTCTAACAAAATTCTTATATAATTGAAATGGGCCGAATTATTGTACACGAAAAGGGATGTGCAATTGTAATAGAAATCAGGAATTTTTCCAAGAGCACTCGGATGACAACATTCTTGGACGTGCGAAGCGTATTATTTACATATAATCAGTTTTCAACTCCGGAAGTTTAGACGGTAGGCAGATGCGTTCCCTCGGGGCGGAATCCGTTCTCGTCGGCGACGTAGTTGACGGTGTACCTGATGTTGGTGGCCGGGTCGACGTAGGTGAAGCTACCGCGGACGGCGAGGCTCTCGTTCTCCTGGCCGACGTTCACCAGCTGGGCCGACTCCTGGTGAGCCTGGCCGCTGGAGAGTTCATAGCCGAATTGATATCCGTCGATGCCGATATTGTCCAGAGGCGTCTCCTTCACGACCACAGTCTGGCTGTAATCGTGAGGAGGAGCCGCGACGGCGACGGCCACCAGGACGCAGAGGACGACAATCTGAAGAGATTTTAATGTCATTTAGGCCCGATTGCACCAACATTATTTGATAGTTTTAAGTGAGACATACAGTACCCTCCATAAGTTTGGAAACACCTTACATTTTACAGTTAAACAATCGTATGGCAGCGATCTGTGCAGATTTTTTGTATCAATGAATCGTAAAATATTTAAATGACATTTTTATTTATGACAGATCGTCCATTTATAAAACTGTTTTTTGTTATCACGATTAATAATGTTTTAAATAATATACTGATAAAAACATCGCATTAAGTTTATATTCTTGCATATTACGAATATCTAATTAAAGAATATTTCTTTAGAGAATTTTTCTCTTAAATTAAGAGGATTTTTTTGACAGATCTGTGCAGATTTTTTGTATAAATGAATCATAAAATAAACGTAAAATACTTAAATGACATTTATAACAGACCGCTGCATGCAATTCTTTAACTATAAAATGTAAGGTGTTTCCAAACTTATCGAAGGTACTGTATGCATACTATCTTTATCTTTCTTTTTAAATAAATAAAGACAAACATATATTTAAGTTTCGCTTAAAATCAAAATGACGTTGGTGCAATCGGGCCTTAGTAAATTAATAGCAATTAACACTTTTGGCTCCTTGTCGATCGTATGTTGAAATTGTGCAGTGGAAAAAAAAATTGTTGCATTAAAAGGGATTCTGGTAGATTCAACCAGTAATTCAGTTTCGTCCATTTTCGAACAGAATTTTTATTAATGCAACAAGATTTTTTTTCAGTGTAACTTCAGAAGCGAGAAAAAAAATTCTTGCGTGTCATTTAAAAAAAAAAGCTATTTCGATGAAACATTATTTTAGATGGCTTTAGCACACTTGTGAAATAGTGGGAAAAAAGTATATCTTCTTTCCTTTATAATCAATCAACAGCTGCGTGAAATGACTGACAAAATCTGATATCACAATTATTTTATGATTGTTAATTGACTATCAAGGGGAAAAATAGTCTTCAAAGTATTTTACAAGTATGCCAAAGAGATTTGTAATGTTGTTTCATCAAAATATCTTTTTTTCTTGCACGCAAAAATTTGTCTTCCCTCTGACGCTACAATCCAACATGGCTGCGGCGCGATTTGTGAATTAATTCATTTAATTTATTATTTGCGACTGATATGGTAAAGCGACTATACTTCCAAAAAAAAATTACGAGTATAATATATTTTCTTATTACGCCCCTCGAGTCTCTTAAAGCTACGAAAATGACCTCTCTTCGTGTTAATTTGCGGATAAATTTCGTTTATGTATATATGGAAGAAACGAGAATCGAAGACTCGATATTATTAAATTAAAAATTCCCGAAATATATATACGCACTGTTTTCATGTTGAAGATGATAGGTGTGTACAGCTTCTTTCGTGCCGAACAAGTGACTGATGCGGATACCCGAAATCGGCAGCGATTTTATAGCGCTCCTCCTACTGCCAAAATTTGACTGGGCCTATTCACCTCTCACCTTTCTTCTTCCCCTATTCGTATCGGTATAGTTAACACGTGTGTCGATTGTCAATTAAAATATCGACCTTCGTGAAAATTTTTCACAAATACCTTACCGGATCATTCGAAACTGTCATTTACATTTTTTAGAAACAAGTACAAAGTTGCATTTAATTAATAAAGTTTGTAATTATTTTATATATGTATATCAAACATTTATAAATGTCAACACATTATCAACTATTTCGTAATTAATAAATTCATCAAGTTGGGAAACATCTGTATAGATAATCCCAGATAGCACAAGGTACTCGACAAGAATTTACCACAATAAAATAACATGCTATCTGGGAATATTAATGGAATAATATATATATAATTTATAAACAATTAAATGGACTGATATAATATAAATAATATTAAGATATAATAATTAATACTGTAATTTTACTAAATATTCTTAATACGTCACCTGTTATTAAGTTAAGTAATAATGATTAAGTTAATCTATATATTATATTTCTTAAATTTATTATATTTATATATTTATTATATTTATTTAAAAAGTTGTCCACAATTATTTAGTAAGAGAGCAGAAAAGAATTTAATCCTTTCTTTCAAGAATATTTCAATAAGAAATCATCATTAATTATTGATGCAATCTTTATGGTAAAGTATAACGTGTATATAGCTTCACGCGAATCAAGGGATTCTCTCTCTTTCTCTTTCATAAATTATCGCGACCTTCGTCTGCAAAGTAGCGGCAGGTTTATATATTTAATTATATATATATAGACATTTATCTCGTCCCCTGTTAGCGAAATTTTAGGCCGCCCTCGAAAAACACTATTCGTCGAAACCTTGAAAGCAATAATAACGTAAAAATGATGTATTTTTAATCTCCGATCAAGGGAAACTACTTATTTAATCTATTCGTATTCTTTGGTTGTATATCTTATTGTGAAATCTCTGTTCATCGTTAATTTGACAGGCGTATAATTTTCAAAATTTTATGATCGAATTATTGATTGGATTATATTGAAAAACGCTTGGAAAATATGTTATCACAAAGACAAATTTATTAAATGTATGTGAATGAAAAAAAAATTAAATTGTAACATTTGTATAGTGTAATTTAAATAAAATTATTGGACAGTAGAAGCAGTAATTTACACTAAAAATATTTCTTTAAATAATTATATATTGTATATAATAACATTGTAAATAAATAATTAGTACAGATTTTTTTCGAAAAGATTAGAAAATGATAAGTTTAATTATCTTTTTCAAGATCTCTTTCAATTGGAATTAATACATATTTATCTATTTCCTTTCATTAAAATATGTCATAATTGTTACATAATATATTACAGGGAATTATAAATGTGAAATATGAATGTCAAATGATGTAACAGATAAAAAGATATTTAAAGATATGAATAAATAATATTTTAAATTTCAGTCTTTGAAAAATGACTCAAATTAAATTAAAAACAATTAAAAATCAGAACAATTAAATATTTCAATCTATATGACATAAATGTAGCAGACGAATAACTCAAAAAAATCCATATAATAGTTTATGCTTTAAAGATATAATTCTATTTTTTTGTATCCTTTAATATTATTCTTTAAAAAATTGTTTTAATTAAAAAAATTTTAAACAACTAAGATTTGTTAACGGCTCTGTAATATAAATATAAATCCTAAATCACAAGAAGGCGTAAAGAACCAAACGCGGATGTTGAAAATAAACCGTGCACATGGCAACGTATTATTCTCGGTGTACTAACCAAGACTTGAAAATTGAAATAATCTCTTACTTGAGATTTTAATTTGAAATCATCTCTTACTTGAGATTTAATTTTAAAAACCCCTAACCCCCCTACGGAAATAAATAAATGCAAGAGAAAAATATAGATCCGAAAGTCGCTGAATCGGGAAAAATTTTAATTTATTAAATTTTAATTTTAAAAAATGAAATAAATATAGCTAGAATGACAGATAAAATACGTTATTTTGTGTTTCAAATATTTAAAAATTATTTTATAATAATTAATTTTATTTATTATTAATTATATTTTATATATATATTATTGTACACTCTATAACATACTCATATGCATTATTGCATCACATATTGTATTGTATTGCGTTTGCGTATTTATTACATATGATGACAGATAATAAACAATATTTATGTTTATATTCACATATTTTTATTAATTTATCAAAAGATACAGATATGCATTAAAAATTTTGTAACATATATCTACAGTGTACTGCACAATTCGTTGAATTCTATTATAGGTTGAGAAAATTAATCGAATCAATTAAAGATCATTTGCATCAGCCAAACATTGATTAACAATATAGCTTCATTTTCTATTTTAACGTTACTTATCTATTAACAAAATCGAAATAACATTGTTGGAAATATAAAAAGGAAGCGCGAGGTTAAAAAACGACAAGAATTATGTGAAAAATGAATTTATTTTCAAACTAATAAGTCGCGAGATCGCTATACGATCGAAGATTGGGAGATTGAATTGTGTGAAGGAATTTGCTTATGAAATTTTTGCAGATGATGTTCGCGCTAAAATTTAGGCGGAAGGCAGATGCGCTCCCTCGGGGCGGAATCCGTTCTCGTCGGCGACGTAGTTGACGGTGTACCTGACGTTGGTGGCCGGGTCGACGTAGGTGAAGCTACCGCGGACGGCGAGGCTCTCGTTCTCCTGGCCGGCGTTCACCAGCTGGGCCGTCTCCTGGTGAGCCTGGCCGTTGGAGAGTTCATAACCGAATTGATATCCGTCGATGCCGATATTGTCCAGAGGCGTCTCCTTCACGAGGACCACCTGATTGTAGTCTGGCTGCGCAGGTAGGATAAGAGGAGGAGACCTTGCGAGGGCGGCAGCGACGACGGCAGCAAAGGCAATGATCTAGAGATCGAAGAAAATTATTTATCAAATGATTCTTGATGATTTGCCTGTAACCAAATTTATTTTAATGCTTAGGGTATATCCCAGTATTCGCTTCATTATAATTCATGATTTTTTTGTTTTTATTTATTCTTGACTACTTGTAGAATAGTTTTCTCTTTACACGTTTCATAATATATGTAAAAAGGCACATATAAAAACAAGAAAATTTGAACAATTATATGTTATTGATATAGAAATAAATATACACCTCTTTTTTTATTTATAAATACTTTTAATTAATTTCAATGGATTTAAAAATTTTTATTAATTTTAATATTGATATTTTAGCATATAAAGATGTAAATTATTAAGAAACATTGTCTTATTTGCGCGGATTCAAAAGAGTCCTATAATGATAATGGCGATGATCCCCAATTTTAATGTTTACAAGATATTTTGTACATTTAGAGAAAGTACGATAATGGCCCTAATTAATTTTAATAACACGTGCGTATCATATGTGGCTATCGCAATGCCACGTGATATCCCCGATTTTTTCGTAATCCTTAATGCCCGGACGAGCGAAAGTTTCCGAGGGCGGTCCACCACGCGAGAGAAGATACATGATTATTCCAAAGATTCCGAAAATTTCAAGATTTTTTTCGAAACTGAACACTTTTTTCGTCTTCTTGAGAATCATTAGTAATTATCAGAGAACACGCACCAGCTTCATGGTTGAGTTTTGCGCTTTCTCTCTCTCTCTCTTTTAAGAAAATGAGATGATCCGAGATGGCTCACAGGTGACTGATCCAATATACGGCTGATGAATATATATATAGCCCGAATTGCGCGATGTGCATTACGCCCTACCATCGTTCGTTGCCGAAAATTTTCATGTCCATGTGTCGAAATCCTTAAATGACCAGCCGCGGCGAATCGGCTGATGGCACAACAAGCATGTTATGCGGCTGAAAATGTCAGGCAGGAATGTTCGAGGGACGGATGCTGGGGAATACCGAGCACGGTTTCATCTCAACAGGTCACGACGGGCCAATAACTAATTCTTTAAACTCGATTTAATTATTTATATCGCCGATAAGTGGGCTTTTTTCGATTAAACGGCGCAGGGTTACGAAAAATTTAATTTAATTTAATTTAATTTAATTTAATTTTTTACGGAATTTCGATTTTAATATACAGGCAGCATCTTATAACACAGAATATTTATAAGATAATTGCACTGAAAAAAATTGATTAAATTCGAATAAATATTTATTTTAATACTGCCTAATAAATAATTTATTTCTATAATAAATAAATATTTTTTACATCAAATCAATATTAATTTAATAATTTTTGTTCAGTGTATATTTATTGAAAGGCAATTATATTAGCCTAAATATGTACTGAATAATTCCAGAAAGCTAATGCTAGATCCGACGCAATTTTAAATGCACTTTGTAGGATAAAATGCACTTTTGCTTCGTTAAAGGTTACGCGCGTTAAATCCCTTTCCTCTTAATCCGGTGGGCTTCTATATAATGTTTTTTTATGTTACGCAATACGCACACCTTATCCTAATGCAGACATTAACACAAACATATGGCAATGTAATAGACTAACTAACTAAATTCTATGGATCGAAGTGGATAATCCATCATGCATGATTCTTGTTGCATCACATTACGATACATCGAAGTCAGCTGACAGCGGAACATTTCATTTAACAAGAATTAAAATAAAAAAAAAATGCAGACGAGTTAGATTTATAAATTATTATAGAGAGAATCTTTTCAGAAATCTTCTCTAAATTGAATACGCGATGAATATATTAATATGCATTTATATTTCTCTTTCTTTTTCTCTCTCTCTCTCTCTCTGATCGATTAAAAATGCAAATTAATTTGTTTAATGTCTCTTGTAAATTTATCACTTCATAACATATTTTTCTCGGTAAATAATTTGTTGTACAGAAAAAAAGAAAAATTATATTTTTATCAAAATAATTTAAACATAAAATTAACATATACTTAAAATAAATTTCTAAAACAGTCGCATTAATCACTAAAAAATATTTATATAAGCATATCTAATTATGCAACTATAAATACATCAGTCCAATAATAGAGTGACACATCCAAATATTTTAAGAATCCGGGTTTTATAAAAGAAGCGATAATTTGTTTTTTTTTTTTTTATTCTTTCCGAAATTAAAAAACCGGGTTCTTGATATATAATAAAATATAGTCTTAAAAGTCTGGCGAAGAGACCTCGAAAGGTCTCGAAATTGTAGAGATTTGTTGGCCACTAAATATACAAATTATCCTTTATTATCGAGATGCAAATTCGTCGTATAGAAGCGATAATTATTTCATAATATTTTTTCAGCGCGTTGTCTGGCCACTCATTCATCACGTCCACGTTTACACACGTAATATCGCAAAGATATCTAGCCCGAAAACCTGATATACGCAAATTTAAGTAGTCGAACCTGCTAACCGAGATTCCGTCTAATAAAAATTCCGAAAGACTCGAGATTCCTCCCGTATTACGTCTTCATCTTCTTCCGTTTGGACGGTGGCACACGAGCAAAATCATTGACTGACAAATTATATCATCAAGTAATGAGGGAGGATCGAATAATGCGCGCCTGTTTTGAAAAGAAAGTGTACTCTGTTACATAAGTGAATGGCTTATGCTAATGATCGAGACGCTGAGAGACAGAAAGAGAGAAAAAGAAAGAGAAAGAGAGAGAGAAATATATTACGAGGAGAGTAAGAATCTTCTTCGTGGGAGGATAAAAGTTAACGATGCCACGCGTCTCTCTACATCTCTACGTCCATATAATCATCATGTATATGTGCAATAAGGTCACATCGTGTCTATAATATTCTTAAAACAATATTATACATCTTACCTTTCTCATATATATTGTAGATAATCTTATAATACAAAAGCTAATAGGCTGATGTACTTGTAGAATACAAATGTATTATTAAAAATCAAATTACTATTATTATTGCTAAACGTGTTATTAAAATTATTCGCTTTCTAATTCTCTTCCGAAATTATTCATTTTCAATAAATACATTTTTGTTTGTATAATTATAAATTGAATAATTGTGTGTGCAAAGCGTGCATAATTGTATTATATAATGTCATTATGTTATCATCGCGCAAAGAGATTCTATCGAACTTTCTAATACATCTATCTGATCAAGGGACTACGTTATGTCATACGCGAATGTCTAACGCTCAATCTACGTTATGTTAGAGAGAAAGAGAGAGAAGAGAGAGTACCGTGATTACATTTATAATTAATAATACATGGTGTGAATTCGCGCCGTAAGCTAAGTTATTATCGATTACTACAGACCGATTGATACCTGAAAGACCTCATCGTCAAATTACTGTCAACACGCTAGTCCATATTACTGCCGAAGAATCGCATTAATATTTCTGACATCTCGTGCATATATAATTACAATTAATTCCCTATCATTTTTATTTCTTACATTTTATTCAAAAAATTTAGAGGACCGTCTCCCGAGGAAAAAGAAATGAATAAATAAACGAAAACTTTAAATTGCAAATGAAGCCGGAGAGAGAGAGAAAGAGAAAAACACATCTACCCAACTTCTAATTATACCATACGGCAAAAAATGACTCTCGATTTTACGAAAGACTCGTTAAAATTGAAATCGAGGCTTCTGGGACATCCCAGGTGCATATAGCACGCATTAAATAACTAGTCGTGCCGGTGCATCGTCAGAGAGAAATTGCGATTCTTCCTTTTTAAACGCGGAGCATTTTTTAGGCTTGCATTATTGTATAATCGATTGTGCGCGCAAAGAAGGAGAACGCAGCGGGAGATGCAGAAAAGATGCAGCGTATATACGCGTCCATTTGCGAGCGAACAGATGCGAGCCGTTTATCTTGCGTCGGCGTTACGCAAAAGATCTTCAACCGCTACTTATACGTTACGAAGTTGACACCTGACCCTATCATCCAATGCTAACACAATTAATAATTCGGTTGACGCGGTTGGTATTAATAATTTCCGTACAAAATTATCCCTATATACGCGAGATACATACGTTCTCTCGAAATTTAAATATGATTCGAGATATGTTGCAATCTTGCAGTAGACTCGGGGCATCTTTTTGATTTCCCTAAAATCACTAGATTTATCAAATACCGCCATCCATTGGAACCAAAATGGCTATAATTATGTAAATCCAGACAGCACCATATGTTCAAAATTGCTGCCAGTGTTGCGGTTAGATGATTTTAAAATTAGTTAGATAAAGATGAGATAAAAATATATAAATTTATCTTCGATAAGATGAAGGTGATTTTGTTTTAAATATTTCTGGATAAAAGATAAAATTATATGGAGTTCATCTAGGTAATTTCCTAGATAATAATTTTTAGGACTAATTATGTAAACGCAGTTATAAAAAAATGTAAATTACAAAAGGGATATAAAAATATATGTATTTATATTTTTATTTATAAATTTTTATACTACTTAAGTTCTACTATTAAGTATTTTTATGTGCTATGATTCTAAACCAAAATATATTTTTATTATTTATATAAAAATAAGATGACGCCAAAATTTTATCTAGATGATCATTCATATAATTTTATTTAGATAACAGCAAACACTGATTGCTGCATAAGACATCATTAAGAAATCTTTAAGACACGTTTAAGAAATCTTATACGATATCGCAATGACATCTTAAAAACATCTTAAAGATGTCTTATGCACCAGTTTTGGACATGGTACAGTCTGGGAAATAATAATATAATAATGTAAAAAAATTTGAAATTGTCATATAGCGTGAAGCAAAAATGGCGGAGTTTCGTTGCAATTGTGATACTTGACAAATCTAGTGGCTCAATAATTTTCTCACAAAAACGTGGAAAAACATGAACCTCTGTGTGTAAGAGATGAGTCTGTTGAAGATGCAACATTGGGATGTACCGAAAAAAAAGATTCGCGTGAGAGAGTGGTTACATGTAGGTGCCGCGACAGCTTTACGACCGTGAAATTATGGATATCGCGATTTGACACGGGGTTCCCGAAGAATGATCGTCGATCCTGTCGCTGGGAAAAACATGAACGGAGAAGGTGCGGGAGGACGACGTCGCTCGTCGCTTTTCAACGAGGAACTCAAGCTAGGAATTTCGCAAGAATCCTACCTGGACCGCGTGCGCGAGGTCGTCGCCATTGCCGGTTCTAAAAGGCGCGTTCCTTGCGTAATATCACCGTTGTGGCACGATGGCACGGATCCTAAATGCCACCATGCTGTCGGCAAACGAACGGGTCTGTGCACGCGCTTGCATTAGACGACGACGTTGAAGACTCCTCGCACGCGCGGTTCTGATCCATGCAACACTTCGAAAGATAACGAAACTGATCTATGAGCTAATGGTACCAGTCATTGAATTTATCGATCGTCAAACAGAAATCAACAAAAAAAAATCCCTAATCAGTCTTAATTAATATCTTTTATTTTCGTATTAAGACTCCTGGCTTCTCGCCGATCGTGTTGGAATTGTGACAGAAGCGAGAAAACACACATTACAAATTCTTAGTTGCTATTTTTTCGAAATAGAGTACTTTAGATATAGATTTAACACACTTTTAAAATACCTCGAAAACTATCCTTTTCCTTTTATAATCAATAATAAACAGCTGTAAAGTGCATAGTAAACACTGTAATATGTATAGATGTAGGAATATGAGGCCCAGTTGATTTTGGTCTGGTCTTTGCTAATTGACTGTCGAGGCAAAAGAATAGTTTTTGAGGTATTTTAAAAGTGTGCTAAAGCTATCTGAAGTAGTATCTCATCGAAATATCTTTTTATTAAAAAATGGTTTCCAAAAAATGTTCAGCGTGTTTTCACGGCAAGGATCTAGGAACCTTAATTTCTTTTATAATTCTTTCTATACTAATAATTAATGTAAAACCTCCAATAAAAGGAAAGTTT